TCTAAAGGGCGCCATGCCCCCCACCCCCATTTGGATTATAAAATAATTCTTTATTTTAAAACAGGTTCTTGTCCCAGATCACTGAAAATGGCATTTCCAGGCTTTTAGTTTTCATAATCTCTGGATCCGCCCTTGTATCTAGTAGTTTGTATGAGACAAAATACTGAGATCCTGTGTATAGCATTGACAGCACATTTAAGGTCCTGGAAATCGAATTAAAGCACATTTACAATGTAGACTGTAGCCCCATAGTGCACACAAATAGTGTATGCCCACCTTTAGTAGCCTAGTTGGTGCAAATCACTAGGATGTTAAACCGTGTTTTCTTTAATTGAATATTATATAAAGAACCTTTCCTTAGTTCAGTACATGTAGGTATGAGTAATAATGATCTAATATAATTAAACATACAAAAAAGGAAAAGATTAAACTATACATTTACAGTATTTGCCTAAATACATGTAAAGTGCTCATGCTTTCCAGAATGTCGCCATTCGCGAAAGTGTCTTGTTAAACTTTAAAGTGAGTGTCTTGTTAAAGTTTATTTCGTCAATTATTGTTCTCATCGGTTACACAGGTTATTCGGCTTAAATGAGATAACTCTGATGGCAACATGGATGGAGTAAAAAAATTTGCTGATTTTTTTTCTGATTGTTAAAGGATGCTCGCTCACTTATTTGATCAAATATGGTATTACGGGTATATTATTTCTATGTACACCAGTTACAGTGTTTTTCCGGGTGTGACAAGAAGCTATTCTTCCTGTACATGCTTAAAGGAAATGGAACAGACAACAAAAAGTAATACTCTACTTAGTCTACTATATTGGTTTGATTGTCAATTCCCACAGTTGATAAAATGCAATGGGTATGTCTCTTAACCACAAAAATGTCTAACAGTAACTTGGAAACCTTCCTTATTGCTCTTTGTGGTTTTAACAGAAACCTTCCTTATTTACAAAGGAACATACAAATGTGTAACAATAATGTATTATAAGAAGGGCTAATTTAGGGTAGACTTGTATTAACAGAGCTTTTCAATGTGTTTATTACAACTATTATAAATGTGAATGTCTAGATTTGTATTAATTTGAACCAGTACACTTACAATACAAATATATGTAATGTTTTATGACTTGCTATTAAACACAGGATACAATTCTTCAGAATACTATTACCGTTTATTACATTTCAACTGTTATTCTCAAGTTTTTATTACGCAATCGACTTCGCCATTTTCGTCTATTGATATTTAGACTAATGGCTAGGAGTTACATGTAGGAAAACTTTGTTTAAAATTTTTACGCCCACATTGGATTTAGGTCGTACAGTGTCATCATCCATCTTTGTCTGTTGCTGCATCCAACACTCAAGATAGTAAAGTGATCATCCAAATGTCTAGACTTGAAATTCATACACAGTATGAGATGACGTAGCCAACTTATTTTTAGCTAAATGCACAGTTATTGACCTTAAAAAGCTTGTGCTCTAGCTAAAAGTCTGGGATCTTAAGTGATTGACTTGAACGTGCTTATGTTCATAAGATGAAGAACCCTATTGATTTTCTATTAGTTCAGATATATACTTCTGAGGTTTTTACCTTTGGTCGTCCACCTACAACAACCCTAGGGATTGTTTGGACGAATTTTTCATTGTCTGGCAACCAGACTTATTCAAGGATGGCTATCTTTGATGGACTTCTGAAAAGAAAACTAGTACTAATTGTTTTTGTGAGAATTCAAGGTAAAAGATCTTTGATTGCAATGACATAGAAGGTTAATATCTGAGCTGGGTCCTTTTACACGACTAAAATTTAAAGTGTTAGTATGTTGGCATTTAGGTAGTGAAATGTACCGTAGTTTACTGCCTTACATGATGTGAAGGTACATGTATTTACGAAAGTATTTACAAAATCTCTTTATTCAGACAGACAGTAGCCTTAGTACACATAAGTTAAGTGTAATTGTTAGGTCATTCAGGAATTTTACACTCAGAGTGTAATTTCCATGCTATAAGCCTTTAAACAGCCTTAAAACACTCCATAAACACTAAACAAGATTATATCATGACATGTACTGCACAACAAAGACTGAAGACTTGAACATCATGTTACACAAGTAATTATTTTAGGTCTAACTCAACCCACAGGATGTGTATCATCTCTGTCAGTGACATTAACTTGATTAACATTTAAAATTACAATAACATAACACTAATATTATAACCTGCCATAACATGATATATGGTAGCAATAACGCATCCCTCTATAATGGAATCTGTAAGCTTAATATGCCTTTCAGACAGCAATAAACTAGTTCCAAACTTTCTAACCCTGGAGATTTAGCAATCACATGGAGAATATGAATTATGAGCGAAAGCAATGGCTTGAGGTTATAGTTAAATTATAAACTATAGGAATCCCCTGCAAACTACAATATTGTGAAAGTTTAATCTTTAACAGGAATATCTGTCCAGTATTTACAAAGTTATGATAACTTGAAATTTCATCAATCTATGCTACTCGAGAGTAACAAGCCGCTGCCATTTTCCATTGGTAGCGAAGAAACCAGATGGGCCTAGTTTAAATTCAACTGAATCCAAGCCGTGAGATTATGTAGCTTTGGTATTCTGATTTCGTTTTATGATAAATAATCAATCTGAGTAGGTACATATTTACCGTATATTAAGCTGTGAGAAATTTGATAATTTAGTCAAAACGCAAATTACACATTTAAAGTAGCTAAGTCTCTAACTCAATTTCATCCAAAATCTTTGACATTGAAAACACGATTTATTTGTCGGTTTAAATCAACATTGATGTTGTGATCTTACCGGGAAAAGATGGCCTTCTGATATCCAATATTTAAGACAAAATAAACATTTTACAATTGGTACACGAATCATGTACCATAATGCGTTTCAGCGCTATTTGTAATAAGGGACTCGAAAAACGAGGCTAGGCATATTCCACAAGTCATGTCAAACAGTGACGCTATATTCTTATCTGGAGAGCATGTCCAATAATCAGAAGCTAGGGATTGAAATTCAATTGAAAATACTGGCGTATTTCACCGAACCTAACTGATTAAAAATTACAGTAAAAACGGAAATGATTGAATGTAAATCAATTTATATACATTCATATTACATTATTGTATGCGTTGTGACCCATTTGTGTCAATTTCTAGGACACAAATATTTAAGTTTTATTTCTACTTGAAACTAGTAATTTCCTTAAAAGCTGAAGAAATGTGCATACACCAAGCTATAAGTACATGTACATGTACAGTCAGTAAATTTTAATCCGACTCGTTCAGAAAGCAAAGATAATCTGTTTTGGGAGACAACACCTCTGGCATACAGGTAGCAAAATATATATAATAGTTTAGCATCACCAGGTTTCTTACACTACATGTAGCTTAGCCTTTCGGATGTAAACGATGTATTAGGCATTAAAACTAGCTGATCTACATGCCTTTCTCTCCTGTTTATTTGAATTGGTGCAGCCCTTTGCTGCCCTTGGGGTCAAAAGATATGTATCAAAGGTTAGAAAGATAAATTTTCGTGATCAGATGGATTTGATGGGATGGACGGCATTTTACACTGGAATCAACTCTCACACTCTCTCTTACTTTTACTGTCTATTGAGCAGGCCTGGAAATATGGATTTCAGTTACAGTTGACAAAATGTCAGGCACTTAAATTTTGCGTCGTACAAGAAAATAGACAAATCTCTGCCAGACAAAATGACAGGAACCGGAGAAATAGTAACTGACAGAGTCTGGATTTGTGCCTGACTTTGTGACAGTTGACTTATTTCAAAGCTTTAAGATGGGGTTTATACTGCAGTCTATTTTTCATATTGAATCAGTGTAACTGTGTTGTTGGTTGGACTTGAATCATTCAAAATAACACATTTGATAAATCTCCTCATAGTGCTTTTAATAAATAATTTTAGATACTTTAATCCTAAGTGCTAGAAAAAAAAAATCTCCAAAGTGTGGATAAAATATGGCATGATCGATAATATGAATTTGTTGTAGATACGCATTTTGTGTTATTAACTTTAGATTTTTTTATCAACGTTTTATTTTTTAGTAATTTTATTTTAATTATGATTATATGAATGTATATGTAGTTGAATAATTTATTTGATTATTGCAAGGCATGGGTTAGATTCCATATAGCCATTTACAAAAATTGAACAGTTGATGCTGTAATGGAATTGAATTTTCTATCAATCATGTTTTAATGCATAATTTTTTTTATCATTTTATGTACTTTACAACATGAAATTGTGGTTGCAAGAAATTATTGCAAAATTGCTTTTAATTGGGTTTTATAGCGAAATTAGTCCCGCATAGACAGTCTTAGCTTGCCAAGATGTAAAAAATCAGAGCTTTCACTTGAAAATTTTGGCCAGCTGGTCAATTTTTGATATGTTTTCATTATTTCGGATTAGCAAGATGTTTTTTCCTAAGACAATCTTAAGCATTCTCTCAATTATAAATGTATAAAAACTATAAATTTAACTGTTTTTATTGAGTTTTACGGTTTAACTCAGCACTTAAAATTGAAATTTGAATTTAATTGCAAGTTCCACTGTATTTTATTGCCCCTCTCCTTTCATGAACAGCAATAAATTTATGCAGGCAATAATTTCATGTTTGGAAAGTGTACAGTGTCACAATATTTGTAAATGTAATCTTCCAGTATCTAATTTCAGTCTCATAGAATCGTAATTCATTTATCATACAACCATTTGCTGGTAATCGAATATCAAGCATTTATCATTATAATAAATACTACACAATATCAAGGATATATTTTATAAATTTAGACTGAGATATGGTATCTTTTTCCCTGATAAAAATGTCATTTAGATTTATATCATGTTTATTTATAATAAAAGTAAACAGAGTGATTTAAATATAGTTTTATGTACATGATGTATATATGTTGCAAACACTTGATAATTCTCTTTACAATTTCTTCAAGAAGCGCAAGATTTTGGGCGATTCAACCTCAACTCAAGTGCTGCGAGATCTGGAGATCTCATTACGAACCAATCATATTGAGTGAGTATTTCTCTAATTTTATTTTTGAACATTTGTTTTATTTTATTTTTATCAGGACTAAAATAGTGATTTTTTTGGTACTATAACAAAATGTCATGCAAAATAATATATTAGCTGTTACCTGAGAATCTGATATTTTGAAGTTGTACAAGACCTAACAATATCTATTAAACATTGAAAAAATACAAATTGACAGGCCTGACACAACTGGATTTGCCTGATACTGTCTAGGACTGGTGCCACTTATTGTTCTAAAATATAATTTGAACCCATCAGTCCTACAGATGAGATAAAACATCTTCTTTGACAGTACTCATAGAAATCATAATTGTAAGCATAAAAGAAGATTGGATAAAATAATGCTTCATACTATAGTGCATACATGTATAACTCAAATTTCTCTTCTTCCCAAATGCACATGACTAGAGAAAAAACATTTGGGTACTTGCAGATTCTTTGATAAATGTGTAAAAAGACTGTCTATTTTTTATAAATGAGTAAAAAGACTGTCTATTTTTCAGATGGGTTCGTGAATTTTTAAGTGAAGATAATCAGGGGTTGGATGTTTTAGTGGATTATTTGTCTTTTACACAAGTAGTTATGAGGTAAGTTTTAATTCATCAATCTAATCAAGGTGTATCATTGATCAATGATCATGCTTAATTTGATATGAGCCATGGTGTCCATGTGAATAGGACACTGGCTCATTAATCAGCAGGTCCTTGGTTTGATCCTGTGTGTTGGCCTGTTTTGCCTCCCTTGTCAGCAGTGCTGGATGGAGGGCCTGGCAAGGAACAATGTCTAGTTGTTTGGATGGGACAAAAAGATGAGATCCCATCTGACCCTGACAGTTGAAATTGAAATAAGAGTAGGCCATAGCACCACTGCCTGGTAAAAATATCCTTCATTGCACTCTGCATATCTTCAGTAGCCCGGTTGGTTCAGAAAATTCAAACATTGTCCCATTTCATTCATTTGTTTGAAAATTTCAAATGCCCTAACCGTTTCTCTTTTACCATACATGTATGATAAATCACTATCAGTCTAAACTATGAAAAGATCTTTTAATTCGATAGTTCACTGATGTTTACTTTATTATCACCTTAGGCTTGTCATCACTCATAATTAGATTGTGGTTACTCCCACAAATAGTTTATTAAATAAGTTATTAGCTTCCAAGTTTCTGTGGTTGTTAGGAAAGTAACCTCCCCTTGATTAGCTATCCCAATCCCCAGTTGACAACTAGCTTTCTTTTTTTTTTAGAAGTGGGAGCCATGGCGGCTCAGTGAGTAAGACATTGACTCACTAACTCGGAAGCCCTTTGTTCGACCCCATTTCGTTGGCCGAGAAAGTTCATCGTGATTTTCCGGCGTGGTTCCTCCTTGTCAATGGTGCAGAACCGAAGTCTGGCAAGGGACAACGTATAGTTGCTCCAATGAGACGAAACAGCGAGGTCCCGTGTCCATATTGTTTTGCATGTAAAATATCCCTTGGCAGTTGGAATTTGGTATAAGTGTAGGCCGTAGCACACTGCATGGCATATGCTCACCTTCATTAACCCAGTTGGAGTAGGACGTAAACACCCATTTAATTTTTGGAAAAGCAGACTCTTTTTTTTTTCTTTATTCAGCAGATAGTGTTTGTAATTTTTTTTTACTAATTTTTGAAGTCAAGATAAGATTTTGGGTACAAAATGATACTAATCTCTTCTTTTGATGAATTGCCGTACTTTTGAATGCTTGATCATGCCAAACCAGGCAAAGATATGTATTTTTCAATAATATACTTTAATTACATTTATTTTGTTGTTATTTTCCAGGAAAGAACAACTGTTAAACAAAGATAAAAGTGCTAGTTTGGACTCGGGGCTTACTATTAGTCCTAAGAGTCCAATTTCCCGTCTAAGACGTTCTAATACTTTAGGATCAGCCCGTGGGATTAAATACTCAAGTAAATTAAATATGGGTGAAGCCCGGGATGACGTCCATGTTTGCATAATGTGTCTACGAGCCATTATGAATCATCAGGTAAATCATTAATTTAGAAACCGTGGTTGCCATACATTATATTACTTGCATTTTAGTAGGGGAGGGTGGGTGGTCGAGTGATCTAACGGTGGGTGCACGTTAAATCTGTCATTCAGTGGTGTAGCTTCGATCCTAAGCTTGTACGTGACAATCGTAACTGACTTCAATGAATTACCTCTCCCCAATCTGATGAAAACTAGATGTCAGTTTACTATTACTGATGCACTATATTGCCATTTCAATGTTTCCTGAATGTCAGCATACATATCAGGAGGTAATACATTAGGTAAAAGATTGTTCAGAGTCACATAGTCAACCAATTTAAAATACTCTCAATGTTTTGTATTTAGCGATAAATTGTGCAAAAGTCTCGAGCAAAATTTCCTCATAGCACACAGTCAGTGCAGAAGGGTAGAACTTGAAACTCAATTTCATCTATTTCATTTCCCAGTCCCACCATTAACTGTTCAGGTTTAGTGCATGTACATTCTATGTGTATTTATTATGTAACATAATTTTCTATTCTGTATTTCAGTATGGCTTTAATCTTGTGATAGCTCACAAACATGCAATAAACTGTATAGCGTTAAGTTTAAACCATAGAAGTTTAAGGTATGTCAATTTGTCTTGGGTTGGTAGTTTGGGTGGCTGAATTGTGATAGATCATATGGTCTGTCATTGAGTCAAGTGGCATGGTTTCGATTGTAGAGTTGTCAACCTTTTGAGTTTTCTGCTGATCTTTCGGTTTCCTGCCACTTTTTAAGAAAATAAGCATTCACGATTTTAAAATTAAACCATCTTAGTTTCAAAATGACTTAGTTCGTGCTGACCCAATTTCTTTGTCATTCTTTCCATTATGGGTTGTGGAATGGTAGGTGGCCAGGTCTTTGAATCTTGTTCTTTTCATCTATATGCAGAGAGGAACGTCAATCGTCCATTCTCTTGTCACTCATGTCATTTGTTTGATTTGGTTAAGGAGATTGGTTGGTCAAATGGTCTTAAACATGCGCAGTAAATCAGAAGGTCAGTTATATCTGCAAATCAAGGGTTTGATCCCATATATGTGACAAATACTGGGGGATGTGGGGGGGAGGGGAGGACACAGTACTAAATTTAAAAATGGCACTTTGTTGTCAGTAATTTATTAAGACTGTTTTGTTTTTAATCTGAGTGTTAAAAAAACGACAAATGAATTTTATTTTTCCTGTTATAATGAATGTATTTAATAATAGAATATATTACAATATTACAGAACTAAAGCGTTAGTACTAGAGTTATTAGCAGCTGTATGTCTAGTTAGTGGTGGACATGAAATTATTCTCTCAGCTTTTGATAACTTTAAAGAGGTAGGGCATGTTTAAAATATATTTTAATTCTCAATTATAGTTTCCATTACATTAGTCCAGTCGCCAAACCCAATATTTCGAGTGAACCAGGAAATTGTATACAAAGTGTTTTTTTTATGATTGATTTTAGTAGCCTATGATGTCCTCTTTCAGAATCTGACGGGTGAATTAGTCTGTGCATGTAAAACAGACTAAAACCGTATAGCAAATAGTACACTTTTTTCCACTTTGGTGGCCATCCAGGACAGAGATCTTATTCTCAAAGTAGATAGTTCTCTGTGCGCAGAATGTTTCTATATATGATATGATTACCTGATAGTGTATTACACAAGTGATATACATGATATCTTCATGATTATTGATCATCCTGATGTGTACTTGGTCTCATCTCTTTCTTAACCCTGTGACATGACTGGACCATTGTTAAATGATCCACGTGTGTCACCACAAAGTGGGGATAATGGAGATAAGCCAAAAGGCGACACTTGTGATGTCTAGGCAACAATTGTCCAAGGAACCCAGTATTTATGCTACAAAACGTTCAAGGATTCTTCTATGGATTAAACGATTGATAAAATCAAACTCTGATCTTCTTATATCAAATATACAGTATCAATACTCATAAATAAAGTAAAATTCTATGTGATTCTCTGTATATCAGATCTGTTATCGTTTTAACTTAAAAAAATATTACAGCGTTTCTCACGGCACCAGTGGATGATGAATTGTTTCTATTTAAAATTGTTTTTTAGGTTTGTGGTGAAAGACATAGGTTTGAAACATTAATGGAATATTTTAGAAATTATGAAGAATTTCATATAGATTTTATGGTAAGTATATACTTTACATACCTTACTAAAATATTCCACTGATTAATCATTTCAAGGTTTATTGTCTTGGTGGATGCTCGATTGATTCCATTAATCCTATAAATAGTGACAATTGAGTAAACATGAGAATTCCACCAACTATATAATGAGCTATATCCTTCAATCATGTTGGCCAAGACATGTCTCTCGGTTCCATGCTAATCAATTGTCATTGTATCAATTTCTTCTTGCCGGGTGAAAAATTGAGCACAAACCCCAAAGAGAATTAAAGGGAAGTAACTATACTTATTCATTTTTATTTTACCTCAAACAAATACCTTATGTTTTTTCCTCTTTTCAGGTGGCCTGTATGCAGTTTGTTAATATTGTGGTCCATTCTGTTGAAAATATGAATTTCCGTGTTCATCTACAGTATGAGTTTACTCAGATAGGATTAGATGATTATTTAGAAGTAAGTTTATGGTGTAACTTGTTGAATTGAATAGATAAAGAGAGAGAATTCTTTATTACAGTGTGCGCTTTAAAAATTGAAGCTGATAATTCGATTCATAAAATATTCTGTCCACATGCACAGACATGAGAGATAAAGAACATGGGCCTCATTCATAACCCCCACTTTTATTTCGATTCCATTTCTAATGGGTTATTCAACCTTCACCACTGACTTGGGAATACCCAGAGGAACTTTGTCGGCCCAAACTTGGATTGAATATGTGACCTCCAGCTAGAGAGCATTTGCCTTACTCACTGATCCGCCAAGGTTCCTTCCAAGATTAGGAAGAACATGATAATCAAATGTTATATTGATTTTCCAATATTATTTTTAATTTTTGTTATTGAAACACTTATATTGTGCATCATTCATAGAAGTATTCAGATACATTATAACTTTACAATATACAATTATCCACATTTATAAGCTACATAAAAATTGTGTACATTAAGATAGACAATGATAAATAATATAAAGATAAAATATACTGGAAAATAAAGCCATTATAACCTGATCAAATTTATTAACCTGTTATTTTTTATTTTTCAGAAATTACGTCAAACAGAAAGTGATAGATTAGCGGTACAGGTACATGCATATCTAGATAATATGATAGATGTGGCAAACTTATTAGAAGATTCAGAAACAAAAACAGAAGCTTTAGAGAAAGTAGCTGAATTAGAAGATGAAATCTCTCATGTAAGTTTTTCTAACAATTGATGAAAATCATTAATGAATATTGGTTGTTTTCCTTTCAACTACCTTGTCCTGGGTTCTGATCCCTGCATGGACTATGGTTCTTCAGGATATTTCAAACCCAGTCTCTGCTTGACAGGTGTGACACATGCGAGGATGTCCATGAAATTGTGTCTAGTTGTTTGGATGGGATGGAAAACATGTCTTGTGTGCAAAGATCACTTCAAAGATGAGTAGGTTTCATCCATTGTATTTGACGCATGATCCCAGAAAAAGTTACCATGTGTTAGTCAATTGTAACATGAGGTCTTGTGTTGAAGAGACTTTTAATCCATTTCATAAACTTTCTTTGTTTTATAATTCAGATAAGTGAAAAGTTACAAGAAGTTGAAGAAGAAGCAATGACTAAAACAGTTGAATTAGAGAAACAATTATCAGAAGCTAATAGAGAATTGGAAGAATTACAGGTAGATTAAATATTACATGGTGTATCTATTAGGAGTTTAAAATGCCAAATGGAGAATATAGCTCAAGTCCTTTTGAATAAAATGTATGGCATATACTGCACATCTTATAGCAATTTTTAAAATTAGACAGTAGTTTGGATGAAGGATTCTATTGGCCTTACTGTGTTATAGATGGAAACAAACATTGCATACCAAAGATATCTTACAAGGCAATTTTCTCTATTTTGGAAGGATTTTTAAGCTCTGTATAGATAATTGCCTTGTAATAAGAGATATTTTGAATTTTATTTTAAAACAATTTAATGTAATTTTGATATTATTGTTAATAATCCATTCATACTTCTATTTTCAGCAATTAACTAGCCATCAAGAATCAGAAATGAATACTTTACGCAAAACTTTGAGTGAAAAGGATGAGGAGAATTTAAAACGTCAAAGTTTATTGGATTCTAAACTTGTTGAATTAGAACAGATTAGACAAGGTGTTATACCAGGTAAATATAATAAGTAGATATAGCACAGCTCAAACAGTAGAAACAACAAACAAATAGACCCGAGTATATGTTTAATATCAAACATCCTACTTTTATGCTCAATCCATGGCTAATAAAGATGGACATACACTATGCCCAAAACAGAGTCACTATAGATTTTCATTCCATCGGAACAGCTACAGCCTACTTTTATTTCGGATTTCAACTGTCAAGGGTTCGGTCATGTGTACCTCAATTTTTACAAAAGACCTTGGTTTTCTGTTCCCTCTGAATGAGAAGGCCGTCCTTCCTGCACCATTAACTAGGGGAAATCACATTAGAAAATCCTGAAGACCAAACCCAGGACTTCCAGATTAGCTAGCCACAGCTATCCTTGATATATCTTGTTTCTTGGAAAAGAATGTCTTAACTTATTATCTTCATTGAGTCAAGTGCCGGGGTTTCGTTCAGGGTTTTGGGTTTATTTCAGAAGCTAGCTAATAATTTGTCTTGCCCCCCCCCCTCCATTCTGCAACCTCACCAACAAATTGGCAGTTAAAGTATACATTCAAAAAAATTTTAAAAATCTCGGGCCACCACTTTAAGAACTGTTAAATATTTTTAGTTCTAGTCTGTGTTAACACTTCTGACAAATAAAAAATTGAATAATTGGTGATTTATATACTATCAACAAAGTAATGTTTTGTTCTGTTTACAGGTCCACCAGAGGGATCAACAGCACCCCCACCTCCACCACCTGTAATGGCTCCACCCCCTCCTCCCCCACCACCACCACCAGGTCCTTCATCTGCCCCACCTCCACCACCTCCACCAAATCCAGCCATTCCAAATATGTCAGGTAAGAAAAATTAAACATCTCGTTGCTATATTATTTGATCTGGGATAATTGTAGACGATACAATTGTCATGGATACACTGCTCTGAATAAAATCAGTTGTTAATTATTGTACCTTGAAGGCAAATCAATCCATATCTCAAAGTCAAAAATATGAACATTTTTATTGATGTTTATTATTATGTAAAAGACCTTGTGTCTGAGATATAAAGTTGGTGGTGTTAAATCACAAAGAACCAATATTCAGTTTAATTGGGCATATAATTAATTAGAATTGATCAGTTTAAATAATATTTTTAGCAAAATATAATTGAATATTGGAAGGTCCTAATCTCTATATTTTAAACTTTATTTTGGCATGCTTGGTCTTTGAAGAGTAATCATTTCTTACATCTGAATAATTGTAACAAATGACCAATATGGTTAAATCTTCTGACACAGAACCTAAAAATCAGAAAAAATAATCATTTACCTATGCTGTCTTGAGCCAGATAATCATCTGTGTATGCTAGCCTTGAGCCAGATGATCATCTGTATATGCTAGCCTTGAGCCAGATGATCATCTGTATATGCTAGCCTTGAGCCAGATGGTGTATTTATTAATATGTTGTCATCTAAGAGTTTCACTATGTACATATGAAATCATTCCTACTAATGACAGTATATTTTTTGAGATATTGATTTCAACATTTTATTTTTCAGCAATGACAATAAAACGTAAAATACAGACCAAATATCGATTACCAATATTAAACTGGACTCCATTAAAACCCCAACAAGTTAAAGGCACCATCTTCTCAGAACTAGATGATGAAAAATTATATTCTGTAAGTTCTACACCCACATTAAATTTATACACATTGTTTGTGTTTATCAGATTAAAGCCTGTTTTCCAAAGCTAAAACAGATTGACTACCAATAGGCTTGCATGTTTTTGTTTTTTTGGCGCTATGCTCCCACTACCTAAAAAAAAAAATGAAACAACTTCCATGAACTGCTTAGGCAACTAAATTGATGTATTTTTAGTTGACTGTAATATTTACTTAAAACCGAAGAACATGCATGTTTAATAAACTCTAATGTTTTCTCTTTTTAGGTAATTGATTTTCTGGAATTTGAAGAAATTTTCCGACTAGGACCTGCTGGACCAATGAGAACATCCGAAAATGGAACACCTAAATTACTCAAAAAGAACAGAGTACCTCAAACTATATCTTTATTAGAACCAAACAGATTACGTAATATTGGTTAGTACAAAAATCTTTTGACAACTCTATATCGGGCATTGGACCCTGAGTAAGTCATTGCACCAAAGGTTGAATTTAAAACTTGGAACTTCTTTTAAAACATTCATTGGATATTTCACTGTTCAATTATCTGGGGGGTGGGGGGAATATTATTTCACTGTTCAATTATCAGGGGGGGGGGGGGGTGATGAACGAACGGTTAGCATGTGTGCGCGCTGTTCATAAGCCGTGTCATTGAGTCAACTGGCGTGGTTTCGAATCCCCGGTTGTACGTGACAAACAGTAGGGTCGCCTGTCCAACCTCGTGGGTTTTCTCCGGGTCCTCCGGTTTCCTCCAACTGCTTAAGACCCCTATGTGCAAGCGAATTATTGAAATAAAATTAAACCATATGTTAGTCCCGAAATGACCTAGTCTGTGTCGAGTGGATGTTAAACCCCATTTCTCTCTCTCTCTCACTCAATTATCTGTATAGTGTTGTTATTGGTTCCTTACATGTCGTTGACTGAAATTTATTATGTTGCATTATGATTAAGAAAAAAAAAAATATCAAAGGTAAATAATCTCCATGACTTGGTTCAGTTGAATAAAAAAGAGGACCATCAAATAGTTTTTACCCAACGCTTATATATAGGTGATGCAAACTTGTTTATATCATAGGTCGGATATTGAGAAATTTTCAGTTATCATATCTTTGTAAATACTGCACGGAATTTAACCAGTTTTTGACTGATTTCCCTTTTAAAGATTTTTCTTTCACAATATTTCGTTTGCAAGGGATTCAAAATCTCGGAAATGGCAATCAGATGATGCAAATAATTTATGTTTCTAAAATTGCTCTATATACAAGTAAAACTATTAATAATGTTTGTTTTACAGCAATAACCAGAAGAAAAATGGATATGGGTAATGATGAAATTGTTAAAGCCATTCATGGGTAAATATTAATAAAGAATCAGAACTTTAAAAGATAGTGTGACATATTTAAAGCTGTTTTTAGTATAATCATTAACTTATCTGTGATATCACAGTGGTGGCAGGGAGTGCACAGTGTCTTAATTTGTGAGGTGCTGGCTTACTAAACAGAAGGTCCCGGGTTCAATCACGCTGTTGATTGATAAAGTTTGTGGGGATTTTCCATTGTGGTTTCCCCTTGTCAATGGTAAAGGACAGAGGGCCTGGCAAGGACAGTATTTAGTTGTTCGGATGGGATAAACCAACAAGGTCTCCTTGAAATTCAATATGAGAATTGGCTGTAGTGCCGTCCAAATTTCACTCATACAACACTGGTCTATGTCTGTCTTCATTCACCCAGTTGGTGAAGGAAATAGAAGGTTCATTTCATTTCACTGTGACGTTAACAACCAGCTATTTCTACATAATTTGGCTGCAACTATTTTATTAAGTATGATGTCATTTCTCTAAATAATCACAGGTTATGCTTTTCTTTCTGTCCTGAGTTGTTGTTATCCTGAGTTCTTATTAATGAAAGAGATAACTTTGAAAATTAATTTTGGTTTGGTTTCAGGTTAGATTTAAAGAGAATATCTCTAGATATGGTGGATATTTTATTAACTATTCTACCAAATGATCAAGAAGTAAGTTGCATTATTCACTGGAAGTGTATTTTGATAGGGGTGAATTGATTGTTTCGAATGTCCTATAGTTGGACAACTTTCACAGTGTCATTAATGTATTTTAGTGCATTTGAACACAACTTATTTATACACCACGCTTCATTGAGAATTGTCTTATTATAGAGCTATCATTATATGTCATTGTTTTTGAATAATTGATATCAAATCTACTAGATTACTTTGACACAATACTAGTTAAATTTATATTATATATATCTCAAAAATATTTATTCAATTTATAATAATATGACAAGCAAATATATCATGAGAATTACCTCTCTTGATGTAAAGTTCAGTAGCGGTCATCTGTTTGCAGATCATTTACTGGTGTGTGTATTTGTACCACTGGTATGTGTATTTGTACCACTGGTATGTGTATTTATACCACTGGTGTGTGTATTTGTACCACTGGTGCATGTGTGTATTTGTACCACTATATCAGCATGTTATGTCATGTTTCATTCAGTTTAGTTTCTTATCTTAATGTAATTGATATTTGTATTATAGATGAAAGCTTATCGTGAATATGAGAAAGCCAGGAAACAGATAGATTTATTATCTGATGAAGATAAGTTTATGTTACAGGTAAATACTACTGTTTATCACTGTATATATATATATATCTCTTTTACTTGTCTATATAATAAAATATACACAACCAATGAACACGAAATCAGTTATATCTCAACTACAGCTGTATTTGCTGACAAAATAAATTAACATATTAATTTTAATTAAATTTACTTCTTTACTCTTAAAGGAAATTGGTTTCAAATGCTCTGTAGTCAAGCATATCCTCGACGTATGCTGTAGAATAATTTGTCTTTCAACATGACATACAAATGCACAATAGAAGATTGACTCTTGTTGCTAACTTAAGAAAATATATGTAAAAATTTGTGTTTCTTTTTAATTTTTTTCAGTTAGCTAAAGTAGAGAGATTATCACAGAAACTAACTATAATGAGTTTTGTTGGTAATTTTTATGACAGTTTGCATCATTTACAACCAGTAAGTTCAGTCTTTCTAGATACAATCTTTATAGACATAAAAGTCCAGTCTTTCTAGATATAAGCCCTGTCTTACTAGATATAAAAGTTCAGTCTTACTACATTTAGATGTAAAAAAGGCATTATGGCTACTCTACATGCAATATTCTCTTTCCTAGCATTGCAAATATATGACTTGAATCAGTACACGAAATAAAGAGACCTAATACAAGCCATTTAACATAACAAGTCATTCGTGGTCTCTACAGAAATTCCAACACAAAACATTTAAGATTTACTAATTAATACCAGCTATGTTTTATTGTCTTGTCATGTGGTTAAAGAATGTTTTGATGTATTTGTGTATTTCAGCAAGTTAATGCCATCATCGCAGCTTCCATGTCTTTACGAAATTCACAGAAGTTACGGAAAATGATGGAGGTAATTGTTATTTATAATTCTTTCAATACCGGTATAATGTTCTTTTTGCTTTTAATTATTATATAATTGAAGTCAAGACATGATATATTATCTCCAAATTTTTGGTTCATAATTTAAACATTAAATTTACATTATTTCAATGGCATTGATGATAAGAACTAAACTTATTTGACCTTCATCTTTTATCATCTGTTTAAGTCTAGTAACATCATTTAAGGCACAGAAATTTTGATAGTTTTCCAAAAATGCAAATGGTGGACATTGACTTAAAATTTGTTCAGAAAAATAATAGTTTATTTCATCTTTATTTCTAAAACCATCAGTTCGAAATATTTATTAAATATTTAATTTACATTTCAGATTATTTTAGCGTTTGGTAATTATATGAATAGTTCTAAGAGAGGAGCTGCGTATGGTTTTAAATTACAGAGTTTAGATATGGTATGTATTTAGTCCACTGAGATTTAAAAATACATTCTCTCAACAATTGCTGTTTAAAAATACATTTGTCTTCTCAACAATCTATGTTTCATCATACATTTTCTCAACAATCTATATTCAAACAATACATTTTCTCAACAACAGAGGTTTACAAATATAATTTCTCAACAATGGAGCTCTGTTCAGAATAAATGGTTTATGTGGCATCCGTTAAGAATACTTATTGATTTGACTGCATAAATGTTGCCTGGTGTTTTGGCACTTTGTTGACCAATCTTAGAAATGGTCAAGCATTTACGAGCCGCCTAAAATATTATTTTATTTTTCAGTTGATAGATACTAAATCTGGTGATAAGAAAGTTACTTTGATGCATTTCCTTGTACAGACGATACAAGATAAATTCCCTGATGTTATTAATTTCGACAGTGAATTACGCTTTATTGATAAAGCTGCTCTTGGTAAGATATATAATCTTCTTCTGTTAAGGTGGAGTTAAAAATGTTTTGTTGTATACAAACACAACCTTAATGAGCCCCTAGAAAAATGCATCAGACAATGAATCACATGAGCTATTGTTGCTCTGTATTTCTTTTTTAAAAAGTTCTGATCATTGGCCTGTCCTCTAGTACGTCTGTGGATTTAGCCAAATGAATCCATGAGCAGAATGAATAAATGGAATGGGGTTTTATGTCCTGCTTTTCTGCACCCATCAAGTGACTCTATGATGTAAATACTCTCCCAGATGCTGCAGCAACAGCCTACACTTATTTCTGACTGTTAGTGGGTCTTTAACATGCAGCCAGTAATATAGGCAGGACCTTAGTTTTCCATCCCATCCAGACTACAGAACACTTTACCGTGCCAGACCCACAAGGGAATCATGCTGGAAAATTCAAAGGAACTTTCTCAGCCAACACTGGGATCGAGCTGATGACCTCCTAGTTTGTAGGCCAGAGCCATACTAACAAAGACATGCAACTATTAGTAGATGTTTATTATAGGAGGCTGGTTGGATGGTCGAATGGTAAGCATGTGCACACTGTATCATACTGACTACCATTGAGTCAACTGGCAGGGTTTCAATTTCTGGTTGTACGTGACAAGGAGTAGAGTCGCTTGTCGAACCTCATAGATTTTCTCTGGGTCCTCCGGTTTCCTCCCACTGCTAAAGACCCCTACGCGCAAGCGAATTATTGAAATAAAATTGAACCATGAGATGACCTAGTTTGTGTCAGTGGAGTTAAACCCTCCCTCTCTCTCTCTCTCTCTCTCTCTCTCTCTATTATAGGTCTGCACTGATATATGGGACTGTTCATTTTATATTCATTATGATGTGTGTTATTTTCAGTATCAATGGAGAATATTACAACTGATATACACGAGTTAGAGAAAGGTTTCACTTTAACCAAGAAAGAATTCCAGGCTCGTAAAGATTCAAGAGATGCTCCAACGCTACTCAAAGACTTTCTTGCCAACTCGGAAGAAAAATTCCATAAATTAGAAACCGATGTTAAAACAGCACAGGTAAGAGGAAATTCTGTTTATATCAGATAAGCAAGTTATTTTTTTCCAATGAATATGACAATTTTAAGCATTATCTCAAATTTTAAATATTTTTGAAAGTATTTTTACACAATTAAAAACTATAAATGAAACTATTATATAGTGAAATTACCTGAGAGACAGGTATGGGCCTTGATGCATCAAAGTGTTTTTAGATTTATTTAATATTTACCATGGTCATATCTTTTTACTTTAGGATGCATATAAAAGAGTTGTTGAATATTATGGAGAAAATTGTAGAACTATGTCACCTACCACTTTCTTCTCTCAGTTTGTTCGATTTGTAAATGGTTTTAAAGTAAGACCTTATACTATTTATCCAAATTTTTTTTTATTTATGATAATAAACCACTCTCTGTATGTGATTAGGATATTGGTCTTACAACCAGTTTATCCAGGTTTGAATCACATTCCTCTCATAATCATAAAAGTCTAAGCTTAGATATAACTAATTAGAATTAGAACTATTCCATTAAAAAATACTGTTGCATTGATGAGGAACAAACCACTTTAAAATGATTTTTAAAATAGAGATATCATGTCATTCTCTGATCTTCTGATCTTGGAGTATGAAAATTTCGAATAATGGTATGAGCACTGTTTCGTTATTTATATGAGATGGCAAAAAATATTGGATTCGTCTTGTGTCTTCATATGTGATAAAGTATTCTGTATTTTAAGATACTGCATAATATATTGATATCATACTTTGGTAAAATAAATGTCCTTGTGCTTCGTCAATATATTACTTAATATCTCACTCTAAACCACACAGTGGGGTTGGATGGCCGAATGGTTAGTATGTGCGCCCTGTATGATAAGGCCTGTCATTGAGTCATCTGGCGTGGTTTTGAATCCACGGTTGTACGTGACAAGGAGTAGGGTCGCCTGTCCAACCTCGTGGGTTTTCTCCCACTGCTAAAGACCCCTACGCGCAAGCGAATTATTAAAATAAAATTAAACCATATGTTAGTCCCGAAATGACCTACTTTGTGTTGAGTGAAGGTTAAACCCTCCCTCTCTCTCTCTCTCTCTCTCTCTCTCTCTCTAAACCACACATAAATTAGATAATGAAATTTTACCAAACTTTTTGAATACTAAATGCTGTATTTTGATATTATTGTAGCAAGCTGTTTTAGATAATGAGAGAAGGAAGAAATTAGAATTTGGTATTCCAGAAGCAATCAACAAGGTGAATAAACCAAAAGCGAAAAAGATAACACAGGTACGTCTTTATCATTATAAACTATAAACGGCAGATTAATATATAAAAAAACTGGACTCGGATTAATATAGAGACGTTATAACAGTCAGATTAATATACAGAAGTTATAACAGGTAGATTAATATACAGACGTTATAACAATCAGATTAATATACAGACTTTATAACAATCAGATTAATATACAGACGTTATAACAATCAGATTAATATTCAGAAGTTGTAACGGTCAGATTGATATACAAAAGTTATAACTGTCAGATTAAAAGCAAATCAGAATAATATACAGAAGTTATAACAGTCACATATACAGAAGTTATAACAGTCAGATTAATATACAGAAGCTATAACAGTCCGATTATAATAATCTATATCATTGATTAGTGCTGTATTACTTGAATGATATGATGATAATCTTTAAGTATTCATTGGTTATTTTAATTTATTATGGTAATAAAAACAACATAACAAATGCAAAAAAAACCCACAATAATCTAGCCATCAGTTGTATATGCAGGCAGTTGTCCTGCTTCTGTTTTTATACATAGTCTGAAATCTAGCACGATGTGATGCTCAGGAACGGTATTATAGCTTTTTATAATTTTGTTTTGTGACATATGTTTACAGGAGGCTATGGTATCAGAGTTAAAGAACAGAAATAGACAAATAAAAGAAAAGAAATTATTAAATAAAGATGAAGTGTATCATGGTGCTTTAGAAGACATTCTTTTAGGTAAGTACAGTTGTCTTTAATAGTGGGGGTTGGATGGCTGAATAGTTAGCGTGTGCGTGCTGTATCATTTGGTCTGTCATTGAGTCAACTGGGGTGGTTTCAATTCCCCAGTTGTGCGTGACAAGGAGTACGGTCACCTGTCCAACTTCGTTGGTTTTCTCCGGGTCTTCTGGTTTCCTCCCACTACTAAAGACCCCTATGCGCAAGCAAATTATTGAAATATAATTGAACCATATGTTAGTCCTTAAATGACGTAGTTTGTGTCGAGTGGACATTAAACCCTCTCTCTCTCTCTCTCTCTCTCTCTCTCTCTTTTTGTCTTTAATAGCAGAACTAGAAGATGTGAACCTGATGGGGAAGGTTTGACACAAGATACAATATAAACTTTATAATATATCAAACTTGTATACAAGAATTGAGATCATTAGTTCCATGCATTAATCTATCAATGTCCCACAATATGCAAATTCCTCAGTTTGTAGACCAAGTTGTAGATAATTACTATCCAACAGATCTTATACAAATTGAATCTTATGTGTCCAAATAGTTAAAAGCTTTGGGGGGAAACTAGTCTCACCAAATTGTATATAATACATACTGTCACATATCAAACTTTTCAAGCCTGAAAAAAGTTGTCTCTAATCTTACTTAAAGACTTTTGTAAAGATACAATTTTGCTGTTGAACTTTATAATAATTTACAATACCTAAAACAATTATTTGCTAGAAAAGTTACCATTTAGATAAATATTCTCAAATGAACATTTTGTGTATTACAGATTTAAAGAATGAACCTTACAGAAGAGCTGATGCTGTGAGACGGAGTCAGAGAAGAAGAGTAGAAAATTTAGTACAAGTTCCAACGCGTAGTGAAGCTTTTTAGTTCTAACTTGTAGACTTTTACAGATAAACCAACCAATTCAGTTTATTCATGATCAACACACGGGGGACGTAAACTATTATCGGTTCTCTTCATCAAGTCAGAGTTTATAGTACGAACTAGAAATATATCCATTGTGAAAGATAAACTGAAGTGCCAATATATCTTTGGAAAGTGTTTCAATTCTGGATATAAAAGTAAGAAGCTTGACTGGTGAACAGTTCTTATCAGACAATATTAGTTATAAGATGAACAGATAACCAGTGTAACAGTGCTATTTGCTCAGTAACAATGTGTCAGTTGTCTTTGCTTCATTAGAACAAAAATCAATATACCCCAATCAGAACTGAAGTGTAGCGACAAAAAAGTGCTATGCAAATGAAAAAAGAAATGTCTACCAATGATTATTACAAAAATGTTGGATGTTTTAATTGAATATTTGCGTGATCATGACATTTGGGAGCTTTATTCAGCACATAGAAAGCTTTGCAAACTTAACATTGTTTTCTAATCTAACAATATGTCCCCCGTTACATTTATGTACTACTATAATATTATTAGGATTGAAAAGGTTGGCCTAGTAAATTGTATGTGCTTTTGGTTTGTGTCTTCCATATATATCATATTCTATATTATTACTAATGTGAACATATTATAATATCATTAATTACACACATGAACTCATTATTAGCTTTTTAACAATTCATCAATTCATAATTTAATTTTATTTTTAAAATATTTTATATTATTGATAAGATTTTTTGTCGCAAAGAATATGCTCCATGTTTTAAAATAATTTTACTTGTATGTAAGACAGTTCTATGTACATGTACCAGAATTTATTTTATTTAACAAATTATTTTGTGGATTAAAAATAAAAATGGGGAAATATGAATATTAGGTAAACTAGGTAATTTTAATTTTTTTTTAAAAGAAATCTGAATTTTCTCTACATTTATTAATTTAGTTGCTCAACAATCTTCCTACTAGCACAATTGCTCAAAATTCAATGCATAATATTTAAAGTAGCGAATGTCATACGTTTATTTAATTTATTATTCTTTTAGTCCCAGTGAAATACATGTAACATTTCAATGATTCATCATTCTATGTTTTTAAGTAAATAAATGCATTCCTAGATTTTATTAGATACTGCTCACAAACTATTCATGGGGTTACCAAATTTTACAACCAATTATTATGTGGTCCAAATTTTAGTATGTCATACTTTTTGAAAACATTTTCTTCTTCATTTCAATTTAGATTTTAGTAGATGTATGTTAGAGATTGATAAGAAATTTTAATTTTATTAGTACATGCTCATGAAGTCTGAATGCTCAGCCTTTCTCAAGCACTGCTGTAGTGCTGCTCATTGCAGTGATTGAACCACTGTACATGTAAATGATGGGGGTACACATTGAACCATTGTAATTGATGGGATATTACCCGGTAATTACATGTAACTGTAACTCTGGAAATGATGAGGGGGTAAAAATTGCTGTCATCACCATGCTGTAAATTATCTGTTAGACATTGCACCACTGTAAATGATGCAGTACAGACATTTCAGTTATTGGACCACTCTACAAATTGCGCCACTTGATGAGGTAAAAATTGCTGTCATGGCACCACTGCAAATGATGTTTTAGACATTGCACCGTAGTAGAAGATGTGCTACACATATAGTGTCACTGTAAATGATGATTGCACGCTAGCTAGTAGTAGAATAGAACACATACCAAAAGCACATAGACCTGATTATAAAGATAGATTATTTAATTTGTAAATACTAGAAATAACTGTAGATATGTGTTATAGATAAGGTATTCTCTGTACATGTCTAGCTTTTAATATGCCTTATTCTTATTTTACTGAAATTCATATTTCAACAATCCAAAACATGTCCGTGGTTCATTTGTTCTTAAATCTAAATCATCATCTTGTACTTGCAGTGACGTGGGGCTTTATCTTGAAATTGTTTTTATGAAATTCTTCATTTATTTTTTTGATTCAGTTTAATTGAATTAAAATAGAAGTGGATTTCATGTTTTCAGTTTATTCAATATTTCCACAAATATAAGGTTTAAGCACAAAATTTGCTTTCCAGTCGATTTATGCATTTTTTTTTTATTTATTAATTTTAGATATGAATATGGCCTTAACCCTTAACATTTTTCAGAAAACTTAAAACGTGGGTTATATTTTTTTTTTCTAGAACGTGACAGCCTATTTCTTTCTTAATCGTCATTTTAAATTTGTAATTCGTTAAATTGACAGCATGAAATCTGCTGAAAATGTTTGGATTGACTGAAATAATTATACGAGATGTTAACTCACCGTCACTGGTATGGAGTATTTTTATTCGGTTGTACATTATTATATGTTAATGTACATAACATAAATATAAACCATGTCATATTGATGTGAACATGATATATCTTTTATTACTTATATCTCATCCGATCATCGCCTAATAAAGACATACATGTATAATCTCATTGTCTATTGTTGGAACTCTTTGTTAATATAGTATGCTAATGTTTCATCATTAAGATTTGTCAGCTGATATCGTCCATCTACATTTAAGAGAAAAAAGGTACAAAAAGAATTTGTAAATTATAATTATAAAAAGGGGGTCATCTTAAATCCCCAATAAAAGTAATGCAATCAGAAACGAGATCAGCTTAAATTGATCCTGGAATTAATGTGATCCAAAAGAAAGTCAACTTTAATTCTTATTGAAAGGAATTCAATGTACAATTCTTTTGAACAAAATTCATTTTTTAACTTGCATTACTTTCTTGTTCTACAGTAGATATTAAACCTAAGAAATCATTATAAATTATAATAAGACCATATTTAATATGGTAGGTGGGGTTTGAACTTGAACACAGCTTTTCTTTTAAAAAATAAATATTTTAAGGCCGAAAAAAACAAAAACAACATATCTTGGCAGTAATCAGAGATTTTTTAGCCAGTTTTCGGTCAATTTTTGTTAAAATTTGGGCAATTTTACACTTACAGCCCCGCTATGTTCTAGTACACCTATGTGATATATTCCTAGACGGAATACACAAAAATGAGTAACATTGTATTTTATATTAGTACCATGATTTGACCATTCTATATTATTCTCTAGTAAAAGTTATGGGCTGAGCAGTACATGTACCATTGTTGAACTGACAAAAAGTTCTTGAAATATTTCCCTATTAATTCTTAATATAATAAAAATCAGTTGAGATATTAACTTAGTTGGTCTGTTTCAAGTTTATCATCCGGGTATATAAAGATAGATTATATTTTTTAGGAAGAAATGTAATTAAAAAGTTATTTTATCACAGTTTTAATTGTAAATTTGATCAATTACTGTTTAATTAGTTTTACTTAATTAATCATTGGTGAATATATATTGAATGACACCTATATAAACATATTCTATCCTTTTATTTTGACAATTTGTTAAATAACTTATTTCTTATTGTTTTATTGTAATCATATGTTATTAAATTATCTATATGTATCTTTTTTTTTACGACAAATAAAACATCAATATTTCAATGATGTAATGTTTTAACTTTTGCATTTATTGCTCTACTTATTATTTTATTTTGAAAAAATCCATGCATATGGAGAACAAATATTAATGAATTTATATTTAATACAAAATTTCTTTTGTTACTTAAAGCAAAAGTGATATAAATTTTAACACAGATTTAAAAGATATATTCCAATGAATAATTAAGTTCTACAATAATTGTAGATGTAGTGTATTACTATTAATTTTTTTCTGTTAATTAGCGGTTGCTCATTTTAATAATTAAAAACTAATTACGCTATGCATCAAAATAATTCCGAACATTTTACAGATTATTTTATGGATTTCGGGGTTTTCTTGTTTTCAAATTTATATTTTTAAGGATCTTTGGGGACTATTTACAATTCTTTTCATGCTTTTTGCCAATCATTATAATGTTAGATTTTTTTTTTCCTTCTCTCCATATTTTGCTAGTCCTGGCCCCAAGATCATGAGATCAGGTCTGTGGAGGGCTCAAGGTAAATAAATAATTCAAAACAATAGAAAATTTTCCTTTTCAAATCTTTTGCCAACACAGTCCAATAAATGTGTGTATGCTGTTGTATATTTTAAGGCATAGGAGAGAGTTTTAAATTGGGAGTTTTATGATCTTGGGGACCCGATTATATTTTAAGCTATATTGTAGAAAGAAATAGAGTCAATTATTATTCATAGTTCATTTGTTTTTATCATTTTGTTTTTATTGTGTTAATTTGTGGTTTCTATTTAATAATATATGTATCATTTTTTTGGAATGACCTGTCTTTTGGTACTGTGTTATGTTTTATGTAAATAGAATTAGTCTTTAATTAAGAGACACTGGTTTATTTTTACTTTATATTATTTTGATTTATTTAACCAAATGTTGGTTTTAATAAGAATATGATGCATTTTGTCATAACAGAATGTTCAGTTTAAAAGTTCATGCCTTGATATTCACCAAATATGATCACTCACTTTTATTTGTAATTTACCAAGAAATAGACAAAAAAATTAAATTTACATTGTGTTAAATTATTTATACTATTTTAAAATTGTACAGATTAATTGCAAGACAATTGTTATCAAACCAACATTTTTTTTAAATTTACAAATGAATAATATAGGTATAAAACAAGCCATGTTCTTTAATAATGGTATATGATAGCAACTGTTTATTATTGTACAATGATTCTATACATATACCTGTACTGACCATCATCAACAACTTGTATAACCAAGCCAACCTATTTTTATTCTGTATTATGTACGTAATGTCAGTTGATGTTTTCATCACATCAACAATAAAATATAGGATTTATTTAGTTGTTGTATTTCTTAAAGATACATTATGTTAGATTTAGATAAAGAGCTAGCCATTTTTGCTATAATAGTTCGAAAATAGATAATGTAACAAGACGTGTGCAATAATTTCAACCACCGCCCTGTTTGTTCGAAGCTAAGTCTCGCTCCTCCATTTTTAGCTTCAATCAAAATATGGCTGAACTGTTCTAATCTATTTATTATCGGAGAAATCCGATGCAATCAAGAGTTGGTTATGGCCTGGATAAGTTAATTAATGTCTAATTAATAATTTAGAAAACATTTCAGACCTAAAGAAAGACATGCAATAGGCAGATTTAGCTCTTGCATAATGTATGTTTAATTTAGCCTCACTATATATTACTGTATCCCCTTCATGAATCGAATGGGGTTTTTTCTTAACCTGTAATACTGTCTTTACCTTTGAGTTTGTCATGAATGGATTTACATTTAACCCCATTTCATTTCATTTCCTCATGAATGAAAGTTTAAAACATTGCCTGAATTTTTGGGGGGGTCCCCCATTGAGGCTGAGCAGGGATAAGCAATTTAGTTTGCTGATACTTTGAACAAATATCTCCCATTCTACCTTGACTAAGTTTGATAATTAGCATTTTCTACCCAGGTTCAACAGAATGATAAGCAATTTGATGCTTTACAAAAAGATAATGAGCAAGTAATTAATGAATGCCATCTGTATATTTGGGAATTGAGGCAGGGGGACATCAGCTTCACTGAAAACTTGATTCTTCTGAAGAATATCGAATTATGGTACAGTAAAATGCCAAATGGAGTGAAACAGGAGAATTTCTTAGTTGACTTTCTTGACTATACTTTGTCTTTGCTCAATCCAATATTAAAACATAATATATAACAATTTTGGCTTTTTAAAATTAACACAAGATATGCCCATATTTTACAATAGATGGACAGAGAACAGGGAAAGTCAATAGGGTTCATTCTCTCCTAGTCCCAATGCCTCATATCAAATTAGATAAAACTGTACCCACTATCACTTTTACAAGGTTTTGATAAAGGGGGAAAACTTCCGAACGGAATGTGACAGATCGCTGAATATGTCCTCTCATGACAACAATGTTGCACACCAAATTTAAAAACTGTAGCCTTTATCACATTCATACGGTTTTCAGCAAAAAGGGACAACTCGGGTAAGGAAAGTTGATGAATGCTCAATATCAATACGGTTCATTCTCTCATGAACCCAATGCTTCACACAAAATTTGAAAAAAAAAGATGTTAAAAACTGAGGCCTATATCACATTCACAAAGCCTTGCGGGTATGGGGTCATAACTCTTGAACAACGGGTCGTGAAACGCTGATTATCTATGGGGTTTCGTTTCGTCCTCTCATGACCCCAATGCTTCGGACAAATTTGAAATAAATCTGTTTAAAAATTGAGACAAGCTTAAAACGTGATTTTCCATACAATCAGGGGGCATAATCCAGGAACTTCTTTAAGTAGCATTTAGTAACTGAACAGTAACACACTAACACTATTTATGGAATAACAATCACTGGTTTATTAACATGCAACGTTTCGACGATGATACTCTCGTCTTTATCAAGCAAATGATAACATATATGTAAAACATCAAGTATTTATATACAGTAAAAAAGAAGCCATAAACGTCGAAACGTTGCATGTTAATAAACCAGTGATTGTTATTCCATAAATAGTGTTAGTGTGATAATCCAGGAAGTTACGGTCCGATATGCGTGCTTAATATAAAAAGGAACCGAGGTCTTTGGGTCAAAGAGTTTAAGTTTCATCAAAATCGGATTATCGTTTTCATGTGGACGTATATTGTCATCGCCCCTGTCCGTCAGTCTGTTCGTCCACAATTTGTTTGTGGACACTCTACTGGTCACAATTTTTATCCGATTTTGACAAAATTTGAAATATACATGTAGGTTTATATCCCAAAGATCAGTTCCTTTATTTTCTGTACAATCAGGGGCCATAATACAGAAAAATACGACCCCATGTCAAAGGGAACCAAGAACTTTCTAATATAAACATATGTTTTAAGTTTCATCAAATTCAGACAAAAAATGGGGGGCCTTGAGGGATCCCAAGCTATAAACGCGATTTTGTGTACAGTGAGGGCAATAGTCCAGGAAGTTACGGCCCGATACATTTCAGGATATAAACACCTGATTAAGTTTCGTCAAAATTGGTTAAAATTGTGAGGAATGCCACTTAAGCGCTCACAAAACATGCCCCCCCCCCACCCTCAACCGCAACCTGGCACTGGTCAAAGCTAAAGTAAAACCATGCCTGTTTGTTGTTAGTACAACAAAAAAGTGACAATTAATTTATTTAACTATATCTTTTATTGTTGATATAATGACTTCCTGATATAATGTTACTACCAGGTTCAATATTTGGCATAATTATAATTATAGTATACTAGTGATAAAACCTCAGTGAAGAGTTTCGTGTCAGAAACCTGTTAAATATTTACTATCTAAAAACTACCAAAAATAATTGTAATTTGCCAAGTTTTTGTTTGCGGTGTTTAAGGTCCACTTCCACCGAGGGTGATATTGCAGTTGTCTTATTTCTATTATCTTCGCACACGCGCATGGGTCTTTCCTGCGTGTGTGGGTGGTGGACCAGTGTACAAGTAGTAAACTCACGAGGATGAGTAGGCGCCCCATCTCCAAGCCACACACACCAGGGAACGAAACCAAACAGAGATGACTGGCTAGCTAGGGCTCGAAGCACGACACCCTAGACCCCCCCCCCCCCCACACACACACACATCTCTTAGCTGTTTCTCTTAGTTGCTTTTCTTAACAAGTCACACACTGTTTCTCTTAAACTTGTATACACCCCAATTTGAATTACCGATACGATAATCAATCATTAGAAATGGTTTTATTTGGCTTGATTTATTGTAAAGTTATTGTTTATATTGTTTACGTGACAGTTTTCTTTCCATCTCGAATATTTTTAAGGTGACTTTCACCTCAAAGTTGTTGTTTTTGTCAATGAATCCATTCTGTTGATTAATAAATGTGTCCCATGTAATGAAAGATGGCCAACCATATCCTCGATTCAGTTCAGTGAAAGTATAAACTAGTTGTCCGGTTTCTGATCTATAATTATCTATGAAGTTGATCACTTCCATAACGTATTTAGCTGTACATGATTTAAAAGATTTATCCCTATATCCATCGTCGCAAACCTTTAGATAAACCCCCAATGTTTCACTTATACCTGGATTATCAGCAGAAGTTTTCCTTACCCCAACACACCATTGTAAATCTTGAAATGTTGTAACACAACTGTAGGACATCTTGTTCAGTTTTATTTGATTTAAGTTAAATGTTTCTGCGAAGTTAATTTCATGATGTATATTAACATCACCAAGATGTTCCTTAAGAATTATTTCTTCGATCTCAGTTTCCTCAAATGATGGAAACTGAACAGACGTATTCAATGTTCGTTTTTGACATTGTCCACATTCCAGTCGAACTTTTGGTAACGTATCTAAGACTTGAACAATGGACGAGTCTTTCAAAATATCATCAGAACATTTAACACCGGTCCTCAGATTTTCAGTTAGAGATTTCATACTTTTCATTAGTTGTGTAATTGTATCCGTTTGTTGGTCGCAGATTTTCTGTATTTCGTCCTTGTTGTTTTCACCAAATTGGCGAATTTTATCAGTAAGGTTAGTAACGTGAACATCGACATTTAAACGCGCTTGAATGGCTGCTTCTTTTACTTCTAGTAATTTACTTCCCAAAGACGTAGAATAGTTTTCAAGTTTGTTTATATGTGTTTCTATTTCTTCTTTTATTGTTTTCAATTCGTCCCTGATGTTTTGCTGGACGCCGTCCTCTTGTAGGTCTAAATATTTATGTCCATTGTGATTATTGACGAAACATTTCAGGCAGGTTGCTTTCAAACACTTCTTACAATAAATATCTACTTTCTTTTCTGTATGGTTTGGGCAGAAATCTTTAGAATGTACAGGCGCCTCTTTGTCTTCGTCAGGGTTATCTTCCTTTAGATCTGATCCAATTTCATCCAATGTAATTACAGTATGATCTTTACTGACACTTAACTTGTCATGCATTGATTTACACGAGTTACATAAATATTGTCGACAATCGCGACATCGAAATATTGATGGAGTACTGGGACAAATATCACATTGTGGAATGTTTGATGTAGAATGATCCGCAGTTTGTTGTTTGAACAAAAATTCCATCACTTTAGTATCCTGACGGCACAATGGACAGGGGAATATATCATCTTTGGATGTCTTCTGAATGTAATCTTCTAGACATGTGAGACAAAATGAGTGCCCACAGTCAATTATTATAGGTTGTTGAAAATCATTTAAACATAGACTACATACCTCTTTGTCCGTTACTTCAGCCATTTGGTTCTCACCCAGTGAATAATGGTTATTTAATTATTGGCAATTGAAATGTTTAAATCAAATCATGTAACGCCAACCACCACCGTAACAAATTTGTTTTCTGGTCAATCCGTTATACATATAAAATTAAGTACTTGTAACTACGGCACAACCAATTTAAAAGACACGTCTATTCAAGTACGTTTTCCTAGCGCGAATCGTGATAGCGGGAACCTATATATTTCTATCGTAACACTTCACTGCTTTTGCACGAATAAAATGAATAGTCAGAACATACCTTAACGCTGTTACTGGTGTAAAAATAAAATGGATATTTGAGTAACTTCCTTGTTGAATACATATGCCAATAATAATACATGTATATAATATAAAGAAGATTGCGTGCGAAATTGTATAGGTGTATGTATAACATCCTATATGGCTATGGAAGGGTATCGCTGCCAATATTAAATGCTCTGCGACGATGCTGTTTCCATTGATTATATGTAAAACGTATAATGTACAAAGTCCTAGTACTGATAATGATCAAGTCAAAATACCTTTAAGGCAAGAGTTAAATGTAAAACGTCATTAATGTTAAGTGTCAAATGACAAATGTTTTGTGGGAAAATGCTTTTTGTGGCGTGTCTACACTTTACATTTCTCTCATTACATTTTACATTTGCGTTCTGCGCATCTTATTTGTCCTTTACGCTTTCTACATAACATCTTTCGTACAGCATCAACTTTCATTATGGAAATGTAGGTTATCACGCGACTTATTTACATATACGGAAACCTGGCACACTATAAACCAGAACAAGGATATTCACGACACTATAACAGGAAATCAGCCTAGCACAATAAGAAATTTACTTATACCTTGACACTTTGGATGGTACTTTACCATGATAAGGGGGGGGGGGGCTGTGCAATGTCCAAATACGAAAATCCAGGTATTATGTTACATACTAGTGAAAAGCACGTTCATTTCTGTTTGTAAATATGTAAATAGTTTTTTTCTGGTACAATCGTATTTTCATATTTCAAATCCAATAAATATCACACTATTAAAGGGGTATTCAAGTAAAAATACTGGTCTAAATACGAAATTGCAGATAACATGATATATATCACTGATTGCGGTGGGGGTGTTTAAAATATCAAAATACGGGTATTAATACGAAATTCCAGTTATTGTGTTATAAATTACTGGAAAGTATGTTTCTTGGGCTCTTTGAATCTATCAAATGTAATGAGAGAAATGTAAAGTGTAGACATGTCAAAAAAAGCATTTTCCCACAAAACATTTGTCATTTGACACTTAACATTTGACGTTTTACATTTAACTCTTGCTTTAGATGTATTTTGACGTTATCATTATCGATATAAGGACTTTGTACTTTTTACATATAATCAATGGAAACGACATTGTAGCAGAGCATTTAATATTGGAAGCGATACCCTTACATATATGGCTGGTGTAATTTAATATTTATACGTTTAAATTTTATAATAAGCACAAGTCTTTTATAGAGGGTTTTTCACCGATGTCCTCTTATTAAGATTAATCTCGAGATAAATGATAGCTTTATACATAAAATGACCCCGTAATGCATAGGCGTACGGGCTCGATGAATGTTAGGGGGGGGGGGGGGACCTGAAATGCCCGAAATGGATTTCATTGATACAAAGCATTAATTATGATGTCATATATGTCTATATCATTATCTCGCGCATTCACTGCCCATTTTATCCCACCACCTGATGATAAAGGCTAAAGCACACGATAGTGACACTTGTCTCATAAAAAAGTGTCCCCCCCCCCCCGCCTCTCTGGATACGCCCCTGCTTAGGTGGCTGACTCTAATTCCCACACTGATCAATCGTTTACAGTCCACAGAGATGGGACCGTCGGGAGATATTTTTGAAAATGTAACTGTCGCAAACGCGTTTCCTGCTTTCCAGTCCGTGAAAACAGCAAGTTCAATGTGGTTCAGCGCAGTGGACGCTTACGGCTATCCCACAGATCCATTCACTTGTTTGTGATTTCTGCGTATTGTGTTATGTCCATAGATTTATTTTGTGTAAATTATGTGTGGTGCAGTCCCCCTACACTTACTATTAGGTGACCAACCTGAATCCCAAACAACCAATAAATTTTGAAAATTTATACTGTCGCAAATGCGTTTTGTGCTATTCTAGCCGTGAATTAATCTACATCAAAGTTCTAGGTTCTATTATGCAAAATGCTGAATGGAGAAGTGTAATGTGCAAAATAACTATTATACCGTATTTTGTATTATTGAAAAGTGTATTCTGTATTTTAACAGAGTGACATTGGTATTGTGGAGCAATGGAAATTGCAAATTCTAAAACTCAAGTGGTGGAAAAATTCTCCAAATCATTTTGTACACAACACCCTTCCATGGGGTAATGTCAGATCATGCTGAGACGTAAAAACGAACATTTGTGATTTGCCAAGTGTACCAGTGCTATGGAAGGTAATAAAAACTTTTAAAGATACTAATGAATAATGTATGCAGAACAGTTACTAGGTAAAGGTTAACAAAATAAGTTCAAACACTGATTATTGGCTTTTACTCAAGTTTAAGTGAAAGCTTCTGATGTCCTGATATTTGTCAATGGGGACGTTTCTTTTATTGGAAATCTTCAGGAGAATTTAAAGAAAAAATATTTCATGTGCAAAGAAAGGTTAACACAATAATTTTGCAATGGCAAAGCAAAATAAATGGTGGTTGGAGTTTTCAAGCAATTAAAGTAACAAACATGTTTGCCTACAAATTTGTTACTGTCCTTGGAAACGATAAGAGTACTCTTCGAAATATGGCCTAAATAAATCAGTAATTGTTCTTTCATAAGTATTTCAGAACCACAGATCCCAAGAAATGTACCTGGAGGTTTTACATCAGGTTCTATGAAGTAGTCCTGCAGTTAATCAATACAATACTTTGTAATTAAACACAACATAAAATATCATAATAGATTTTGTTATGTTCAATTTCATCCTAGTAGACATAACATCTTCTAACAATTTTTAAAGTCAAAAGACAATCCAACTGAACAGCACAAAAAAAAGTACATATCACAAGAATGTCAACATTTTATTTACATATTTGGATTTCACAAATCTTAAAAACGAGACATATAAGTATAGCACTATAGTAGTGTAGATCCTTTATAAAAACGAGACATATACGTATAGCATTATAGTAGTGTAGATCCTGTATAAAAACGAGACATATACGTATAGCATTATATATAGAAGTGTAGATCCTTTATAAAAAAAACATGCTTAAAATATAATTTGATATGTTTATCAGACTTATTGTGACTATAAGGAAGAAATAAATTTTAATAACTTGTCACAACTAACTGGTGAGTATAACTGAGAATGGAGTTTAATGACTCATTTATGTCACCCCTAACTGGGTAAACAGTATCTAGAAATGTGAGTTACCACTGACCACTGAATTGGTCAGAAAAATTTACATAGCGAGTTAAGGAATGACAAATTGCACATCATTTACAAATCCTGTGTATAATAATTTTTATATTTAATCTCTTTTGAGACACCCATATCCAATTAATACAGACAATCCACATTGTTCATTGACAAACCCTGTGAATAATAATGTTTATATTTAATCTTTTCAACCCATCAATATGGACATTCCACATCATTCATTCACAAACCCTGTGTATAATAATGTTAATCTTTTGACCCATCATTACCTATCAATACGGACAGTCCACATCGTTCATTTCAACATACACAGATTTAATCTGAGAATAATAGTCTAACGTATCTGCTCCGTTTTCACGTCCCAGACCAGATTTTTTATATCCACCAAACGGTACACCAACAGGATAAACATTATAATTATTGATATATAATGATCCTACTTCCATATTACTAGCTACTCTATGTGCCCGTGTCAGATCTCTGAAATAACAAGAGCATCGCTAACGCTGCAATATACGTCCACATTCCAGCTTTGATTGATATGGTACTTTTTAAAATGAAGAGAATGAAATATGAAATGGCTGTAATATGATCAGAGGCAAAGAAGGCTAGGCGTCTGGTTTGTTTTGCCAAATTTACAGAAATGAAATGAAATGGGGTTTAACGTCCTACTGTTCTGCTCCTATACTGGGCTAATGAAGACGGGCATACGCCATACAGTGTGCTATGAGGGAAATTTTGCCCGGGCAGCGGCACTATCGCCTACTCTTATATCGAATTCCAACTGCCAAGGGATCTTTTACGTGCATTCTAATGTATACACGGGACCTCGGTTTTTCGTCTCATCCGAAGGACTGGACAGCTGTCCTTGTCAGGCCCTCCGTTCTGCACCACTGACAAGGGGAAACCACGTCGGAAAATCCAGATGAACTTTCTCGGCCAATGCAGGGATCGAACACCCGACCTCCAGGCTAGCGAGCCAGCGTCTTAACCACCCAGCCACCCCAAATTTACAGACAAAATACTAACAATAAAGTGGGTGTGACACTGCCCCAAGAGGTCGGGGCAAGTATCAAAATAAATAGTTGCTGTCTTTATGGTATAAGGAATAAATATGCAAAGTTCCAAGATGATCCATTCAGAATTGCAGCCTGTAGACGATAAATACAAAAATTGGGCATGGCTCTGCCCATGGGGGTTGGATATGGAAACAATATAAATAGTTGCCGTCCTTAGGGTATAAGGAATAAGTACTCCAAGTTCCAAGATAATCCATTCAGAATTGTGGCCTTTGGGCGTTAAAGGGAAAATTGGGCGTTGCTCTGCCCCTGGGCATTGGGGCATTCACCAAAATCAATAGTTGATGCCCTTAGGCTATAAGGAATACATATGCCAAATACCAAGTTGATCCATCCAGAATTTGGGCCTGTAAACGATAAACATAAAAATTGGGCATGGCTCTGCCCCTGGGGGTCGTGACATGCAGTTGTCGTCCTTAGGCTATAAGGAAAACATATCCCAAGTTCAAAGAAATCCATTAAGAATCGTGGCCTGTAGGCAACTCACAGAGACACAAAGAAAAAATGGGTGTGGCTCTGCCCCTGGGGGTTGGGCAATCACCAAAAAAATAGAGGTCAGCCTTAGGGTATAACGTATAAGTATAAAAAAGTTTTCAAGATGATCGATTAAGCATTGCAGGCTGTAAGTGACATACAGACACACAAAAAGAAAATGGGTGTGGCTCTGTCCCTGGGCATTCACCACAAACAATAGGGATGTTCCTTAGGATAGAAGGAGTATGCATGCAAAGTTTCAAGGTGATACGTTATGAAATGTGGTCTGTAGATAACAAACAATGAATACAAGAAATGGGCGTGGCTCTGCCACTGGGGGTCGGGCATGCACCAAAAACAATAGGATCATCCTTAGGGTATAAGGAATTCATATGAAATTTTTTCAAGACGATCGATTAAGAATTGTGGCCTGTAGGCGACAGACACACAAAAAGAAAATGGGCTTGGCTCTGCCCCTGGGGGTTGGGCATGCACCCCAAACGATAGGGGTGTTCCTTAGGGTACAAAGAATAAGTATGCAAAGTTTCAATATGATGCGTTAAGAAATGCGGCCTGTAGACGACAAACAAACAAATACAAGAAATGGGCGTGGCTCTGCCCCTGGGGATCGGGCATGCACCAAAAACAATAGGGATCATCCTTAGGGTATAAGGAATAAGTATGTAAAGATTCAAGATGATAACTTAAGAATTGTGGCCTGTAGGCGACACACAGACACACAAAAAGAAAATGGGCGTGGCTCTGCCCCTGGGGGTTGGGCATGTACCCCAAACGATAGGGATGTTCCTTAGGGTACAAAGAATGTGTATGCAAGATTATAAGTTAAGAAATGTGGCCTGTAGACGACAAACAAACAAATACTAGAAATGGGCGTGGCTCTGCCCCTGGGGGTCGGGCATGCACCAAAAACAATAGGGATCTTCCTTGGGGTATAAGGAATAAGTATACCAAGTTTGAAGAAAATCCAGTAAGAATTGCGCCCTGTAGGCGACACAAAGACACACGAAAAGAAAATGGGCGTGGCTCTGCCCCTGGGGGTTGGGCATGCACCCCAAACGATAGGGATGTTCCTTAGGGTACAAAGAATGTGTATGCAAAGTTTCAAGATTATTAGTTAAGAAATGTGGCCTGTAGACGACAAACAAACAAATACTAGAAATGGGCGTGGCTCTGCCCCGGGGGGTCGGGCATGCACCAAAAACAATAGGGATCTTCCTTGGGGTATAAGGAATAAGTATACCAAGTTTGAAGAAAATCCATGAAGAATTGCGCCCTGTAGGCGAACCACAGACACACACACACACATACATACATACACACACACACACACACACACAGACAGGGGCGACGGCATAATACGTTCACATTATGAATGTGGACGTATAAAAATAGAAAAGTGAAAGTAAATAATATTCAACTTTGAAGCATGTCAATAGTTCCCAACTTTTGTCCCCTATTTCTGAGGACCTTAACAACTATGTTCAATCAGATATCCCAAGGGATCTTTTAAGTGCATGTTAATGTGTACACAGGACCTCTGTTTTTCGTCCCATCCAATACCGTAATCGAACCCACGACCTCCAAGCAACTCACTTAGCCACTGTGGCTTCCTTCTAACTATGAATTTCCAGACTAAACAACACGATACAAACAACCTATGATGTTCTTAAACTGCAGCATAAATCTCAAGCTTTACAAAGATACAGCTATTTGCTATTTCCCTTTCCTTTGCAATACACTTTGGTTATACACTTTCCTTATAACATTACTTACCTGGTAAATACTCCACCAGCTAATCCAAACTCAGAATTATTGGCTCTCTTTACAGCTTCTTCTTCTGTGTCAAAGGTCAACACAGACATGACAGCCCCAAAAACTTCTTCCTTAACAACAGTCATGTCATCACGGCAATCACTTAGTATACATGGAGATAAATAATAACCATTTTTTAGACTAGCATCTTGAGGAATGATTCTCTCGCCTCCATAAACAATGTTAGCTCCCTTTAAATAAAATGTTCAATTATATACAACACGATCAATGTTTAAATTCACATCAACATTTTACTAACTCTAATTTTCAATTAGGTTTTATTTTTGTCTAACTGGGTATGCTCATTGGTCTCCCATGTGCACTTCACATCATTCAGTCAAGTTGCATGGTTTCGATTCAAGGCTTATAAAATTGTGGGTTTGCTCCCACTGCTATAAAGACCCCTTTGTGCCTGATAATTATTGAAATAATATGTACAATATTTTAGTTCGCAAAGAATGGATTTTAAACCCCATTTCTCTCCAATTTACGATAAATGAGACAAAGGACAACTTCTTGTAACTTCTTAAAGATTTCGCCTTAACCAAATATAGAAGCAAAGTAGTCTACAGTGGTTTCAAAAGCATGGAAAAATAGAATTTGACTATCTGTGCCAACTGAAAATGTAATCCTCTGATAAAACTATGACATGCCAACCGTGAGGCTAATTCAGCATGCCTCAATCCCAAAATAAATAGATTACTTGCAAACCCATCTTTTTATAAAGCATCAATGAAACTAAATAGCATTCAATTAAAATCAAAGTCTAATGAACATCTACACAAAGTTTGAACATTTTGTTTCAATTAGAAGCAGGAGTTACTGTGTTGTAAAAATGTGATGTATTGAAAAGCAACATCTAAACACTTTTGTGAATGATGCACTGTAAGGTATAATAATAAATGTATTTGAGTTTTATTATGAATATATAATCTCTTTCTAAAACATAAAAGTAAAGTAACTAATTTTTACCTCTTGTTTAGCACCTTTAATATAGCTTAAAACTTTTTCAGCTTGTTGTTGATTAATACTGGCACCAACCGTTGTATTCTCATCATTAGGATTACCTATAACCATTGCTTTTGTTCTAGCTTTAAGTTTCTCTAGAAACACATCAACTATCTTCCTCTCTACAAATACTCTAGTACCATTAGAACATACCTACACATGATTAAAATGCAATATTTAGTACTTTTGTATATCTATATCCAGGGCTGTCTTAACGTATGGCCACGCTGGGCAGTTGCGTGGGGTCTCCACGGTCATAGGGGTCCCATGCTTATCTGCATATTTTGTGACTTGTTGTTTAATTAAACACTGATTTTGTTTGAAGTACCAATACAATAAATATTTGTTCAATTTTATCGACTATTTACATTTCTATTACTGTGAGTGGTTGTGTACATGTAGGTATGGGCCTCAAAGCACTGCTTTGCCCGGGGGCCTTTAATCACTGTAATGCTGTTAAGACGGCCCTGTCTATATGGCAACTGTTCCATCCACAAATACATGCTCAAGAGTCGAGAGGCTTACACTGTACACTTATACTCAAAATTAAATAAAAGAGTTTTCAAAATTTCTTTTAAACGATTCGAGTGAACTTGAAGTTATAGCACTATGTGGTAAGCCATTTCATAAAATTGATGCTATTAACCCTTCATCACTCATTTATCAAAATCCTTAGCTCTGGTTAAATTTTAACAGAAGCAATATCAATTGTAATATTTTAGCCATAAATTATCAAGAAATGAGAACTGACAATAAAGACCAATACAGCAAGCTGGTTTATGTTTCCAGAGAAACAGAAATATTAAAAAGATTACAGAATATTACTTAAACTTACCTGTCCTTGGTTACTAAAGTTAGCCAACATGGCACCTTTAACAGCATTATCTATCTGACAGTCAGAAAATATTATTAATGGTGATTTACCTCCTAATTCTAATGTTACATGTTTTATATCCTGAAATTAAACCACCAAACAAAGTCAATAAAGCTTCATGTTTTCTCATCTGGTGAAAATGTTATCAAAGTACAGAATAGAACAACATCAAACATGGCAAATTTTAATTAAACTCTTTAGGATGTCTGTTTCTAGTGCAAAGCCAAGACAGAGGTTTTACAAAGAATGATACACACAAATAAATGACTGCATGGTTTTTAAAGTTATTATCAGGCTTGCTTGACCCCTTGGTTGTCTAAAAAAAAGATATAAAATAAGTACTGATCATCTAAATGGTTTGTTTTTTCTTGACAGAAACATAGATAACTAGACTCTTGATGTTAAAACTTACTTTAGCACAAGCTTCCATGATTTTACTACCAGTTGGTACGCTACCAGTAAATGTCATTTTATCAATACCAGAATGTGATGACAACACTTGACCTGTTATAGTTTCTCCCTGAAATCAAAACATAATATTGTCTTACAAACACTCCAAAACAAAGAATGGTGAAATACTGGTACTGTAATATTCAATTGTTCATTACATAAAAGAGAGATAGAGAAACATAGGGCTTAACATCCACTCAACAAAAACTAGGTCATTTCGTTACTAACATAATGATGCCCTTCTATTTCAATAATTTTCTTGTACATACAAGTCTTTAGCAGTGGGAGGGAAACCAGAGGTACTGGGGATAAAAACTTGCTATGTATAAGCCTAGGATGAAATCCACGCAACATGACTCAATGACAGATCTTATGATCCAAGTACATGCATTAGACCACTGACATCAGGCACCCAATCCACAAAACTACATTACTGTTTATGGAATATAGTAACTGTAGATTAGGGCCAGTTTCTGTAACTGAACTGCTGAGAATTTCTGTGTCAATCTTCAATAGACAGGTTGGCATAGAAAAGTCCAGGGCGTCATGCGGTGTGCTATGAGAGAAATTTCGCCTGGTCAATGGCACTACGGCCTACTCTTATGTCAAGGGTTCATTTACGTGCACCCCAATGTGTACATGAGGTTTTAGTTTTTCGTCCCTTCTAAACAACTAGACAATTGTTTCTTGTCGGCCCCTCTGTCCACGAAACATTGACAAGTGTTAACTAGACTGGAAAATCTAGAGGAGTTTTCTTGGCGAAAACCAGGATCAAACTCATATTCTCCTGATGACATTACCTGAATAACATTAAAACAACCATCTGGTAAACCAGCTTCTTTATAAATCTCTGCTAACATAACAGCTGTTAATGGTGTTAGTGGTGATGGTTTAAATACCATTGTATTACCACATGCTAGTGCTGGTGAAGACTTCCAGGATGCCATCTGGAATGGATAGTTCCAAGCACCAATACCACCAACTACACCGATAGGTTCTCGTACTGTATATGCAAAACATCCACTATCTAATTTCATAAAATCACCTAAAAAAAGATATAATTATATTTATCTTGCATTGTTCATTATCATGTTTATTTATATTTCAAAATAGGACATTATCTCATCATAAGATTTACTGGATTCACTTACATAATTACTATTTCTTGAATTACATATCTTAAATTGACCGTTAAGTTTATTTACAAGTAGTAACTAATTGTAGTCTTGGACTATGAACTAAACTCATATTTTGTAATTCTAATTATGTGCATCATGTATGTCTTAACATCTGTCATCTCAGTGCAGTATAACTTCGGTCATTTCTTTCTCATTGTTCATTAGGTCTTATCTATGTTTAATACAATATATATAATTGTCATTAACACTTCAATTTAGCTATTCAAGCAAGAAAGACATTTTAACAATTTGATTGATGACATAGAAGAGGGTTTTGTCTAAGACTCATAGTTTGGATGTTGTTAAAATGCACTAATTATCTCTTGGCTCCTGTAGATGACTGGACAGACCTTTACGATAAATCAGACATGATGGTGTCGGTGTACAAATAAATTAAGAACATTTACCATTGTGATTGACAGCTAATCCACCGTAATATTCTATTGTATCAGCACAGCCTTGTATATCATATCTAGCTTCCCATATTGGTTTACCTGTATCTAATACTTCTGTACGAGCTAATTCTTCACTTCTACCCTACAGTAAGAACATTAGACTTCACATTTAGAATGATCAACGGTATTCTGGAATGGTTAAGCAATGAATCTTATTTAAAAAATTTCAAAGGGGAAAAGAATCTTATTTACCGCCTTGTATACAATACTTTGGTTATTCTGAAACTATTATGTACCAATTTTGATTTCTATAGCTTTGTGTGCAATGTAACGGGTTTGAATTATCCAAAACTGTGGTCTTTCTATATACTTTAGTTCATATTCCAACTGTCCTGTCTAAGATTGTATTTTGTGCATGTCAATGTTAAGACAGATGGACCTTGATTTTTCCATCTTATCCCAAAAAACACACCTAACATCTGAAAAACAGTTTTGAATATGATTATTTTCTAACTCTGCATCAGGATTTAACCTGTCAAAGTCCAGTACACTCTCCTCGACTATCATGGTCCGCTATTATAACATTCGTCCGATACCCAAGAGCTACATGTAGCTGACATTGATGTTTTGCAGAGTTAGGGGATATTTTTATATGCAATTTCCAAACTACTGCAGTCCTTTTTTGTCTGTGTTATATTGTAGAATTTTAAGTACTTGCTTTTGGGCAACTTAGTTTCATGTTAAATTTATATTGACCTATTACCCTGATTATTTCAGCAGCTTTCCGTAAAACTTTCCCTCTTTCAAACGCAGATATCTGCGACCATGATTTGAAAGCTTTTCTAGATACATCTACAGCTTGGTCTATATCATTACCTCCTGAAGACTGAATTTCTCGAATTACTTCACCTGATTACAAACAAAAAGATAGGTTGACAGGCTATGAAACATACATACACAGCAGCTAAGTTGTCTGAGCAGTCCATAAAAGTTTTCTCACTCGACTTTTAATGTTAGAGATTTCAACTTGAAAAAAAGGGAAATCAATATCCAATCAATCCTCAAAATTCTATGCATATGGTTTCATGAACCTGGTCATTACTTATAATTTTCAAGCCAAACAGAGGATTACTTTAGCAGTTGGGCAGCTAGAAACACCACAAGGGCAATAATACTGAAATAATTCTGAAATAATTATCAAAATATCACATAATACATAACCACACTTGGGCACATAAGAGTTAAGATAAACTACTCAAATATTTTTTTGCTCTCTTATTAAAGTCAATATCTCAGAAACTGCAGTTTCATACATCAACAGTCATTTATATATCAGAAACTCATAAAATCATATTACCTGTAGCAGGTGAAATTAAACTGAATCTTTGATTTTTGTCTGTATTTGAAGGATCCACTCTATGACCTCTAACATAGTTCAAAGGTTGTTGAACCTGTGTAGCACTTGGTGAAACTGATGACATCATTCTTTTAGATAAAAATGTACAAACATATTTGGTCTTCATCTTGAAAAATATCTAAAAAATAAAAATCATCCTTATATATTGTTTTCTGATCAGGCAATTTTATTTCAGTATTTCAACTGTTAAAACTACTGTTTTTTTTCTCCGACTGGGCTAATGAAGACTGGCATATGCCATACAGTGTGCTATGAGGGAAATTTTGCCCTGACAGCGGCGCTAAAGCCTACTCTTATATTGAATTCTAACTGCCAATGAATCTTTTACGTGAATGCCAATGTGTACATAGGACCTCGGTTTTCTGTCACATTACAAGTAGGTGATAAGTGCAGGATAACAAGGAAAATCTGTCAAAGATCTTCAAAAAAAACCCCAGAGCTATCCAGATTATGAGAACATAATCATGAGATACCTATATATTCATAGACTGAGGACCGGGGTACATCCTTAACACTACTTTCCCCAAACATCCATTTAACAGGCTACTGTTACTAATATTAAGTGTTGAATGATGGTTTTTAAATTACAATAAAATAAAAACAGTGGAGTCAAATTAAAATGGTAAACTATGACCTGATAATGCATGTTGTGGCTCTGGGGTTGAAAGTGCAATCAAAATATGTATTTCAAGTTTTATGAAAAAACACCCAGTTTATATATCAAAATTGTGTGCTGACACATCAATTGTCTAACTGCATACTGATAATGATTGTGATTTTAACCTTATATAAAAGAAGTAGGACACAATTTATAAACTAGGCCTACAGTCATACAATGTAATCTATCAGTCTCTCCTTTTTAAAAGAGTGAGACGAGAAATGGGGTTTAAAGTAGCTAAGTCTCTAACTCAATATCATCCAAAGTCTTACACGTTGAAAACACGAATTATTTGTCAATTCCAATCAACATTGATGTTGTTATTTTACCGGGAAAAGGTAGGCTTCTGATATCCAATATTTAAGACAAAATAAACATCTTACCATTGGTACACGAATCGTGTACCATAGTGCATTTTGTCGTCATTTGTAACAAGTGACCAGAAAGAGTGAGGCTAGACATATTCCACAACTCATGTCATTCGGCGATGCCATAACTTATCTGAAGAGCATGCGCAATAGGCTGGAATAACCAGACGCTAGAAATTTCTATTTGGTAGGCTGCTGAGACTCATGCCGTATTTCGCTGGACCTAACTGATTTGAAATTAGAGTCAAAATGGAAATAGTTGAATGTAAATCAGTTCATATACAATCAGATTATATACTATTCAAAAAAAGTAGGGGATATTTGATTTTGGGGGCATAATACTAAAATATGCAAATGACTACGAAAAAAGTCACTATAGAACCTAACAGAAGAAACATTTCCAGTTACATGTGACGCCCAAACGCACCAATAGCTACCGCATGGAATGCAGGTGATGCTTGGGATCATCATGGGGGTCCAACCCAAGATTTGCACGACTCTGACTTTGAATGTTACAGTCATTGTGGCATTGAATTCCAGGGTGGAAACATCAGTTTAATTGTTTTAGTGACCAGAAAACAAATTTTGATATGCGTCGGCTTACCCAAAATGAAAGGTTACGTGCCCTTGGCATGCTACAGATCGGCACAACACAGGCGGTTGTGGCGCGGACGATGAATGTTTCTCAGTCTGTCATAAGCAGGCTATGGTCCAGATACCGTGATACACAATCTGTACAGGACAGACCACGATCAGGTCGACCAAGGGCGACAACTCAAGCCCAGGATCGATTTATCCGTACCTTGGCCTTGAGAAATCGTGTCATCACAGCAAATCATAGGGGTCTGCATAGGGGTCACCTTCGCGCCCGACGTCCTCGCGTGATCCCTTGTTTGAGAGATCATCACATTCAGGCAAGACGTTGTTGGTGTAGGGATCGTCAACACTGGGATAATCGACGCTGGAGCAATGTGATGTTTTCAGATGAGTCAAGGTTCACTGTTGATTTTTTGGACAGACGTAGGAGGGTGTGGCGTCGTGGAAACAAACGCTTCCAAGACGTTAACGTCATCAGACATGATCGATTTGGTGGTTCTGTTATGGTGTGGGGAGGCATCACTGTTGTTGGAAGAACGGCTTTACATGTTGTTGCAGGGCGTGTTACAGGCCAGTACTACCGGGACAACATCTTGGCAGTCCATGTTGTGCCGTTAGCACGACGTCATGGCCGCCGTTTCATCTTCCAGGATGACAACGCAAGATGTCACAGGGCCAGGATCGTTACAGGTTACCTCCAACAACAGAACATCACCACATTACCTTGGCCAACACTGAGTCCCGACCTCTCCCCCATCGAGCATGTCTGGGACATGCTTGGACAGAGGTTACGTCAACGTCAACAACGTCCTGCCAATGTCCAAGAACTTGCTGCTGCGTTGCAACAGCAATGGGACAATCTGGACCAAAATGACCTTAGACGTCTCATTAGGAGTATGCCACGTCGGATCAATGCTTGTTTGGCAAACAGAGGAGGATTTACCCGTTACTGACTTGGTTGTGATGCTGTGGTAACTTTGCTGTTTGACCCCGGGTATCATTTTACCCTTATAATGGTCAGTCTGTGCCTTACTTAGTCTAATGATCATTTGGAATAAATCGATGAATGTGAACTTCATTTCATTTTGTCATTTGTTTCTTCGTCAGTTTCATTAGGTGACTTTAATAACACTTAAAAATCAAATATCCCCTACTTTTTTTGAATAGTATATTATTATATGCGTTGCAACCCATTTGGGTCAATTTCTAGGTCCCAAATATTAGCAATTTAGCTCCTTTAATGTCCTACTTTATCTGCACCAACCAGGCAACTGAAGACAGGCATACACCATGCAGGGAAATTTGGCCTTGGCAACGGCGATACCGCTTACTCTTCGTCGAATTGCAAGTGCCATGCCAAGGTGTACACAGGACCTCAGTTTTCCATGCCATCCGAATAACCAGACGCTGTTCCTTACCATGCCCTCCTTCCTTAGTTCCTACACCACTGACAAGAGGAAACCAAGCTGGAAAATCATGAGGAACACTGTGATCGAACCTGGGACCTGGCTTGTACTGGTAAGCCAGTGTTATAACCTACCCACTGAACCACTGGAATTCCCCTGTGACATTAACTAAAACCTTATTCTTGCACCATCTACATGTATAAAATAAGGTTATAGTTTAACATAGACCTTATTACAGCTACCACAGAACATGGCCGGTTTAAGAAAAAAAATATGTCATATAAAATTGTCACAACTGACAAATCTGATCAATCTGTTTTCTATCTCATATCTTTCTTCCCAACTTACTATGCATGGTGACCTACCTTGTGCATAAATTTCTCAATTAAATGATGAAATGTAGAGGATAATAATTGGTCAATACTCGATATCGACAAATATTCAATTGTGTGTTAAAAAGAAACATCTGAAGGTCTATTACACTGTTACAGGAATGGCTAACATATCTCTGCTGCATGTAAGATTAGAAGTGGTGTTTTGCATCCTTGTGATAATAATACTGTATGGTAGTAAGCATAAACCTACTAATTACTTTCAAAAATTTTATTATTTTGTGCACATCCTTTTTAGCGCCTGTTATAGGCCTATCATCTTTCACATTGTTTTGCATGTTTGGGTAATAATAAGGAATACAGCACAATTTTCCAAGGAATAATTAATATGCCAAGTTTCATGTCGATTGTTTTTGTATGCCCACATGAATTGGAATAGCCTTAGGCATTTTTCGAAGAGCGTCGCCCTCAAAAACAACAACAAAGTATTGGTTGGGGCCGAGTTTCTGGTACAAAAATATAATTAAAGGAGCTAAATCACTAATATTTGAGACCTAGAAATGGATACAAATGGGTCGCAACGCATATAAAAATGTAATATGAATGTATATAAACTGATTTACGTTCAATCGTTTCTGTTTTTAGTGTAATTTCTAATCAGTTATGTTCGGCAAAATACGTCAGAAATCTCAATCAAATGGCAATCTCTATCGTCTGGGTATTCCAGTCTACACAGGTAGTATTATTGGGCATTCTCTACAGATAAGAATATGGCTTCACCGTTTGTGGAATATGTCTAACCTCGTTCTTCCAGTCCCCTGTTACAAATTGCACTGAAACACATTATGGTGCACGATTCGTGTACCAATGGTAAAATGTTTATTTTATCTTAAATATAGGATATCAGAAGCCCATCTTTTTCCGGTAAGATCACAACATCAATGTTGATTTAAATTGACAAATAATTTGTGTTTTTAAAGTCAAAGACTTTGGATGATATTGATAGAGTCAGAGACTTAGCTACTTTAAATTAATGAATTAAGATATTGGGACAGGGGTAGGCTACATGAGTTGCGTGGCTCATCTCAATTCGTCTGTTAACAAATTGACGCGCATGGTATGTAAAAGGACGGCCGCCCCTTATCTATTACATGTATATATATATATAACCTACTTTCCCATTCTGCACCTGTGTAATTGCAAGACGTGTATTTATTTGTATTTGTCAATGTTCATAAGACGTACGTGGCCCATAATGAAAATTGTTTCATTAAATACAACAAGATAAGAAATGACAATTGCAAGGCGCTATTGCATGACAATTGGTGTAGTATGCGCATAATCGGTATACTCACAAGATAAATTTATACTACAGTACAAAAACGGCTAAACGTTTACAAATTTCATCGTACTTTAATCATGATAAAAAATTTTTTTTGGCAACACTGATTCAGGGGAAATAACTCTCAATGAAAGTGGCAGGGTAAAGACCACATAACAAATTCTTTATAATCGATCAAGGAAGCTGTTAAATTTCTACTCGATTGAACAAGTATAACAAACTTTCCACCCCCCCCCCCTGAAAATCACACTACTCTCAGTGTTTCGTTTGATTAGACCTAGAGAGGGATTTCTTAGGCCATTGCTTCAGAATGCTGAAAATACGAATTTATAATTCCCATTGGACAATAATTGCAATATCCTATTGTGGCAAAAAAGAAAAGAAAAAAAAAATCACAATAAGTATGTACATGTAGGTGCAGAGTCAGAAACACAATTCAACATCGTTATTGATGATGAAAAATCTCATTTTGAGTCCACAAATCATCAACAGCGGGTAAATCCGCCACGAAAGATCGATTATGAAATATACAGCTAGGGTTCCAGTTTAACCCTTTTCTTTGTCTATACATGTATATCTTTTTATTCCATAATTATTTTTTCCCGGCGTTGCACAGGTTCGTATCTCAAGTTAGACCACTTCGATTTCAGCTGTAACCATGCAACGCGGATGCCGGGTAAACTGTTAGTTTTATTTTGAACATATTTAGATCTCAACACATTTAATTCTAATGAGCAACTGCTTCTTATAAATCTATATGGGAAATATACAGCGTGATTTCCCCTTGTCAGTGATGCAGGACGGAGGGCCTGACAAGGGCAGCTGTCTAGTCGTTCGGATGGGACGAAAAACCGAGGTCCCGTGTACACATTAGCGTGCACGTAAAAGATCCCTTGGCAGTTGGAATTCGATATAAGAGTATATAGGCCGTAGCGCCGCTGCCCGGGCAAAATTTTCCCTCATAGCACACTGTATGGCGCATGCTCGTCTTTGTTAGCCCAGTTTAGGAGCAGAACAGTAAGACGTTAAACCCCATTTTATTTCATTTCATATACATTAACGGTTGTCATGGAAGAATGGATTAATATTTAATACAATACAAGGTCAGCCACAATAGATACGGGAACAATAGTTCCGCATTAATGATTGATTAACTTGTTACATAATTAATTATATGGTGTACACAGTAGTGATACATAACTTTCAACGCCTTTAACTTTTTATCGTCCGTAATATTTATAAGTGACCATACTGCACTATAGTACATGTCATACTACAGTAGTAGTAGAATAATACAAAATGGCTTCTATATGGAATAGACTCGTGTGTCTTTTATACTTATATATTAATATACCGGTAAGAAAATTAAACTTTGATTCTCAATTACTGACATTATATCTTTAAAAACCCAAGTGTTCTAATATTTTGGGATAAATATACAGTTAAGTTTATTATTATAGGAGATCAACTTTTGGGAAAAAAAGATTATTGGTTATTTGCCAGGGTGTAGAAAATAACACTGTGTTCTTTACTTGGATGTAGAAATAAAATTATGTTCTTTGCTAGGAAATACAAATCAAATGGTGTTATATGGATTGATATAGAAATGGTGTTATTTGCCAGGAATGAAATTGTTTGGATTTGTTTTTAGACTTGGCATAGAAATAAAAAATCTTGTATGCATTGGTAAAAGTAGAAGAATTGAAACACTGGCGATTTTATCATAATAATAATAATATGTATTACAGCAAAAATATATTTATCATAATAACATATAATATTCTATCACAATATTATTTTATCGCAATAATATATTTTATCATAATTATACATTTATAAAAATAATATATTTTAATACAATAGTATATTTTATCACAATAATGTATTTAATAATATATTCTATCACAATGGTATATTTTATTACAATAATATATTTAATAATTATTTATATTCAATCTAATAATATTTTCTATCACAATGGTATATTTTACTACAATAATATATAATAATTATTTATATTTTATTTTATAATATATTCTATCCCATTGGTATATTATATTTAATAATATTATATTCTATCACAATTGTATGTTTTATGGCAAAAATATATTTAATAATATATTCTATCACAGTTGTATATTGTATGGCAATAATATATTCTATGTTAGCTTTGATAAAGAGGTGAGTGGGGATATAACTATAAAGAATTAATGTGTTGCAGTTACCATGAATTCTGATTAATATAATTTCAGACGGCATTGTCGTGTACTTTATACAAAGTAGATTGTGGAATTATTAATTATTGGTGGTTCTGGTAAGCTGATTTTTAAATCTTAAATTGAATACTAAATTATATACGTTTGAATGAATACAATAATCAATTATCCAGTAAGAAATAGTTACTCAAACATTTCTGGTTCTCGCGACAAAAAATTATTATGGATTTAATTTGCGGGCAAAAAAACAAACTATCTAGTTGTTGGGATGGGACCCTTGATAGTTGGAACTGGATGAGGAGCAACATTTCGCTCATACACAGAGTACAGAGCGTCTTCATTAACCCGGTTAGTGTGGGGTGGGGATGGCCGAATGGTTAGTACGTGCGCGCTGTATCATAAGGCCTGTCATTGAGTCAACTGGCGTGGTTTCGAATCCCCGGTTGTACGTGACAAGGAGTAGGGTCGCCTGTCCAACCTCGTGGGTTTTCTCCCGGTCCTGTTTCCTCCCACTGCTAAAGACCCCTACGCGCAAGCCAATTATGTAAATAAAATTAAACCATATGTTGGTCTTGAAATGACCTAGTTTGTGTCGAGTGGACGTTAAAACCCATCTCTCTCTCTCTCTCTCTCTCCCTCTCTCGCTCTTTAACCCGGTTAGTGTTGAAAAGTAGGACAATAAACCACATTTTTTTCATATCATTCATATCGGTATTTCATTTTCTGTTTGCAGGGTTTTGGTAGTTGGCTTTTGTGTTATTTTCGTATTAGTTGCATTTTTTGGATATCGACACACGCATAGAAGCAAAACAACACCACTTGTTGTTCAACCAGCCGTCGTCACACAGGGACCAGGTAAGATTATTAATCCAATGAATCCACTGTTATTGAACGTTATTGAACGTCCGCTTTAACCGAGAATGATGTCGCAGACAAACGTGGGGTCCTGGGTTCGACCCCGGTATTAACCGAGAAAGTTCCTCGGATATTCCAGCGGGGCTTCCCTTTTTCAGTGATGCAGGGCACCAATGGTTTTCACATTGAGCACCTTTCACAGTTGGAATTCGAAATTAAAGTTAGCCCGCTGTCAGGGTAAAATATTAGAGCGTAAATGTTCGTCTTCACAGGGAGCACCATCCACACACCTCCCCTCGCAATTTCGTTAACAAGGGAAATTACAGATACGATTGGAACCCCACTGGAAATTTAACTATGAATACTATAACCCCCACCATGCTCGGAGTTATGCCCCTTGATTATGAAACCACTAAAGACCACTTTTGTTATTGAATTTTGACGTTTGATTTTGTTGTCTTTAGTGATGTTATATATATATATATATATATATTTATATATATTGTTTTATTTATGTTTTTCAATTTTTGATATATAGGTGCCGTTGTTGTCACACAGCCAGCTGTCATACACACTCAGGAAGAATCAGGATTCCAAAAATTCATAAACTCATTTCTAAAATAAGGCGATTTATATCTTATGGAAGTGTCTCAAACCAATCTGCTGTTGTACTTTTTTAGATTTATAACGCCTACATGAAACAGTCCCACTAAATTACTGTTCGAAATCTCAAGAGGAGCTAAATCATTTCTACTGCTGTGATGTTTTATGTTAACACTTATAACACCTAGACCAAAAAGGTCCACTTTAATTACTTTTCAGGAAGAATTCTTTTCTAATCGAAAATTAACATCCCAAAACTACTGGAAAGTGTTTACATCTATTTCATAAGGCCTACTTCAAGTTTGGTCAAAGGTCACGAGTTGTAAATGGACTAGCGCTAATCCCAACATAACCCTAACCCTGTACTTATACCTAAAGCTTACCCTAATCTACAATCTCGCCAATAGCCGCGTGCCCTAACCATATTTACATCTCAGCGACCATGACGAAATCTTGAGTTGGCCTTAAGAATTAGATCCTAACCCTAACCATATTTACATCTCAGCGACCATGACGAAATCTTGAGTTGGCCTTAAGAATTAGATCTAGCCCTGGATGATGGCCAACCCTATTACATATCTGCTCGCATGCGTCAATGAAACTGTCGAGTAAAAAGGCCGGAGTAGAGTTATCCTGCTCTGGGAGCCAGAGCGACGCTTTCAGTTTCCACTTTCTGAAGTAAAAGATTGAAAGAAATCCAAGAGCATCAATTCAGATTCCTATTTATATTTATATACGTTATCAATAAATCAATTAAATTGTTCAAATGTTATTTTTGAGAGAGAGAGAGAGAGAGAGAGAGAGTAACGCCCACTCGACACAAACCAGGTTATTTCGGCACTAACACATATGGTTCAATTATATTTCAATAATTCGCTTGCGCGTAGGGGTCTATAGCTGTAAGAGGAAACCGGAGGACCCGGAGAAGACCAACGAGGTTGGACAGGCGACCCTACTCCTTGTCGCGTACAACCGCTGAATCGAAAACCACTCCAGTTGACTCAATGACAGACCTTATGATACAACGCGCACGCGCTAACCATACGGCCATTCACCACCCCAGTAGAAGCGAGGATAATCAGTGTACATAAAAAGAACACTTAATGGTGTTGGAGATCGAAGACGAGAAGACGGAAAGGAAGTTGTCCGAGCAAAATTCTCGAATTGCACCATAGAAATAATAAATAAGATAAATTATGTTTATTTCCATCCCAAATATAGTTTGTCGAAATTGAAAAAGAAATATCTCCGGTGTGCCTTTTGATGAGGTGCGGGGACTTTCTTAAAACTTCTGATGAATTGCATTGGCGATCTACCAGGTCAATTGTCCGAAGAGACTACCGAATTGTAACAATCCCTGACAAAGATAACATTTAGTTTTGGTTTGGGGGCATGGTGGCTGAATGGCTTTTAGATCATTAGTGTCATTTAGTCAAGTGGCTTGGTTTAGGGAGCTGGGTGGCTGTATGGTTTAACGCGTGCGCATTAGATCATAATGTGTAACACTGAGTCAAGTGACGTGGTTCCGATTCCCAGCTTGTACACAATACGGAGTAAGATGGCCTGTCAAACCTGGTTGGTTTTCTCCTGGGCCTGCTTAAGACCCTTACACGCAAGCGAATTATTAAATAAAATTGAACCATATGTAGTCCCCTAAATGACCTAGTATGTGTCGGTGTCGAGTGGGCGTTAATCCCCCCCCCCCTCTCTCTCTCTCTCTATCGTTTATTTTTACGAGATGCTCACGGACAACGATGTATCATTTTTAATGATTTATTTTCCTTGCAAACAAAGTACATACGTGAGAATCAGTTTTGCCGATGAGTGTTCCCAGACACCACTGTAACACAGAGAGTGTTTTAATTAAATCACATAACGATTAGGTTAATTATGCTCAGGAAACAAAACCACATATTGGCAGAACGTGACATGTAATTATAATAGAAATGGACGGAGCTCACCCGCATTGTTACACAAAAGAATCTGACATTTTACCTCATTACATACAGAAGTCAGAATTTCGCTGTACTGTAGCTGGTCAGAATGTGCACTGATTCAGCTATACCCCGATTGCAACTGTAGGCAACAAGTAATCGCGGAAGAGCCGACATCTACAGGATATATTCACCAATATTAGTACAAAGTGAAAATACAGAACGAAATAACACGATGGTTGGGGTGGGGCGATTTCAGAATCTGTCCACCTAGTTTTACTACCACAAGAGCCGGATCTAGAATAATTGGGGGTGGCGTAGGGTGCATATACATAAAAAGTATATTACATGAAAAATAAAGAAGTCAACTGCACTGAACGATCAACCGCATTTTTTTTTTTTTTTTTGATAAGTTAGGTTATAAAGAATTCGTGTGGTTCTATTTTGCTCAATTTTATTGACTATTAGAAAAAAATTGAGTACATTTTTCAGTTTGTAATATAGGCCAAAGTGATATAAATTGCTTTTTAACCTTTGCCCCCTTTATAGACCCGGCCCTGTCAAACACTGTAGCTTACCTGAATACTAGCCTAATTGTTTAATGTAGGTAACGCGGTAAACAGATTCTGAAGTTCCATTTCTTTATTATATCGATATAGAAAACAAACTCGGTCGTCAATTTTTCCTCAAATTATTATTTTAAATACAAAGGTATCCTCAAATTATTTTCTCCTCCACAGAATATACGGAAATTCACTGAATATATTTCCAGCCCCTGTGTCGAAACCCAGCCATCTTTGATTCCAAGTACCAAGGGTTCTGGGTTGGGCTAATAGACTATCGTAGCGACATTTACATTCAATGATAAGTTGACCATTTTGTACTAAGTTTGATGAACTCATCGTGGTTGTTTCATTCGGACAACAGTGTTTTGTAGTGGAGATTATATTGACGAATGAACTGTTGTTACAGGCATCACCAGTAGAGCACGGTTCCTCTGAAAATGAAATTGAGGTTGGTGAAAAGTATACTTCAAAAGTTTATTGTAGTTCCCTTACCTATAATACCCACAGTTCACTACTTTGGGAATCGGCTTAAACTAGAATTCCCAACTTCGAATTCCATCATGGCCGCAATTCCCACTTATTGCTCCACGAAATGAACTGAACTAGTGTTTAACGTCCTACTGTTCTGCAAATGAAATGAAATGAGGTATAACGTTCGACTATTCTGCTCCGACTGGGATAATGGAGGCGGTCTACGAGAGAAATTTTGCCCGGACAGCAGCGCTACTACCTACTCTTATGTCGAATTCCAGCTGTCAATGGTTCTTTTACGTGCACGCCAATGTGTACACAGCACCTCGGGTTTTCGCCCGATCTGAACGGCAATACTTTGTCCCTTGCCAGGCCTTCCGTCCTGCACCACTGACAAGGGGGACCCACGCCGAAAAATCCCGATGAACACGGGACCTCTAAGTTTTAAGTCAAAGAAAAGAAGGCGGAATCGCTGCGTGCACTATTAAGTAAACTAATTGCATACCAGTCTCAAAACCTTAAAGATATATATATCATGGGGGATCAGATACAGAGCTGGCAGTTGTCACTATAATAGTTAAAAACTAGATAATGTAATTATAGGGTATTTGCTGAAAATTTTAGGCAAATTGATCCACTCTGATCCGAGAATTTAGCAACTGAATTTTGGGCCTAGCCTCGATCAACATTACTAAAGTCGGTGCGATAATAAAACATAGTCACGATTATCCATTTTTTGATTTAATCATGAATGCTAGTTGAGCAGCAGATCGGATTATAATCCAGTAAATATTGCAGACTAGCGATGACATCGACAGTTGAATATGATCTGGATAAGTTAATAAATGTCTAATTAGTAATTTAGATAACATTTCAGGCTTAAAAAAAGACCTGCAATTGGCCGATTTAGCTCTTGCATAATGTATGTTTAAACACTGTTTTATGCCATTCCATTCCATCGTTGTTTACATGTTGCTATATATTGATTTGCTCCACTGATGGTTTGATAGCCTTAGAGAATGATTAAAAGACAATCGGTAGAAATATCCCCTTGGCTGTATAATCAACTGATTGAAATGATCATGATTATAACTGACTACAATTGGGTGTAAATACTAACAACAAACAGTCGTTGATCGTAGCCTTGAGAAATGTATCAACAGGGAGGAAATGAAATAAAGCATCTCGGCCATTTCGAAGGTACACTAAGGTTACTATGGTTTCGTGTGTTTTCCTGGAGATGAGAATTCTGATTTTCCGATTGCTCTTCTATATCAAATTGTCAAGGATTCTTTTACATGCATTTCTATTGGGCAAATCGGAGATGACTTGATCTAGGGGTGTATGCTCATTTCGATGCAAACGTACATGTATCGGATGTGAGTGGAGTAAGGCGAAATCGGCGGCAATAATTCGCATCTTTGTTCGACGTTATATCGATAAAATAGGCTCTGTGCGAGCAGGGGAGGATCTGCCCCCCCCACCCCAACGTCTGGACACGCGCCTGGATTTTACATATGACATCATTTACGTAAAAGATGATTAGATCGGTAAATCAAAATGTTCCGGGACATGAAAGAGTAAGCATGCACTATCACGAGTAGGACCGCCCGTCATTAATTGTGCCTGTGAATATTAATATATATATATTTATTTATGTTGTGCTTACCGTTTATTTGGATGTTGGAGATCACCGCTGCTGTCACAAAACCAACCAAGAGTAAAAAGACAAGGCTTTGCATTATGACACAATTCGTCCTGCAAAAAGACCGTAAATCATAAAATAACGTACGTGTCTAAAAACACATAATTAATATTAAGTCATCTAGACAATTAAATATACACGTTTTGTTTTCTGAAATGACATTAATATTTAGGAAGTTTCCCCTTTTCTCTTGATTAATAAACATTCACAAGTGGACTTGAGTAGTACTACTAGATTTCTTTGTTGTGTTTTCTCCGTGATCGAAATTACAACTACAGGTTAAGTCGTTTGTACAACTTCATTATTAAAGCCGCCTGGCACCAATGTCCCTCGTTCTTAATAAAGTGTGTAAATATAGCTTTTGATGGCTGCTCTGCCAAACTGGGTGAGCTCTAACGAATTTCGCTCAACACCCTCTTTTATAACCCCTAATTTCTTTACGTCATAGACTGACCCTGGTGTTAATTTCCTTCCAAAATATGGAATAAACATCCCCCAATACCCCGAAGACCGAGGGGAGAACATTACCTGATTTGGTCTACCAAATATATTTCATAACAAGATAGTATTTGATGGATATTTTGACATTGGAAAGGACATAACGTTGGTGGGGAGTCAAAAGGTCGCATCTGGATTTTGTGAAATTGTCTAGGAGAGCCAAGAATCAAAGAATCAAAATGTCTTATAAAACCGTCACGTCAAAAAGTCCTATCTAAAATGTCGTATTTCTGAAGCTTTTCTTAAATATTTCTGTACAAAATGTATGGTTAGCTATTAAAACAGCATGTATCTATCCGCACTTATCAAGCTCAACATCTAGTGCAGAAATAAGGAGTGAAAGGTAGTTATTTGTAATTTTATACAGCAAAGACTAGCTCAGGAAAAAATTCGCCTTTACCTTCTCAAATTTCATAGATTTCACACAGTACAGACTCAACAATAATATCAATAATACGTATTTAACCATAAAACAATACTGGTTATATTTCCTTTGATTGTAATGCTTTGGTTAGACACAAAGTTGATTTTGTCAAGAAAATACAACATTTTCGCTCTTAATATATATAATTTTTCTTTTGGAACACCCCATATACGACATTTTGAAATAATATCTATAAAACAATTTTTTATTGGCTTAGAAATAAGACAACCAGATGAAAAGATGCGGAAGAAAATTCTCATTCTGAAGAAGCAAAAAAGTGTTTTTATATTTTTTTTGAGTGCGTGATAACCAGTATCTACACCAGTTCGTCAAGCTAATGTCCCGACATCCCTAAAACAATCTTTTTTAAATTTTCTAGAAGCAAATTCAAAATGTCGAATTTTGCCGTTTAAAGATGAATAAATCCAAATGAATCGAAAATGGATATACCCTTGACCAAAGCGCGGAGCGTTTCTCTTTGGATAAATCTGAAAAAGTATCATCAAGGCAAAACTTCCTACGGTATTTAGTCAAAATATTAGATGGGAATGATTTAGAAAACTTTCAAAAGTTGCGTTCACACTACACGCGCATTCAATTCGAAATCCGTAGACCGGCCTCCGGAATTCGGATTGGTTTTTCCCGGTTTAAAAACGGTGCGTCACATAACAGTTTATTCGGATTGAATTTAGAATGAAAAACGCCACACTGAATCTAATTTAAAGTCTCTGATCGTCATTTGAAGGGGTATTAATCCCGTGCAAACTACAATAGTCTTAAAGTTAAACCACTGATAGGAACATCAGTCCAGATTGGTTAAATTCCGTTCTTTCGCAACATTCACCAGCCGCTGCAAACGATACACACTAGAACTGGTCAAAACGGACGTAAATCAAAACAGCCAAAATTGTCCTAAATCAAAACGATTAAATGTGGATTCTTATTATAAAAACAAATATTTAATTGATCTTTTTGATTTTTTGCATAGCCGTTATGGCCAATTGACCAAAAGTTGTGTTCGTTTTGTCCAAATGTATTGGCCGTTTTAGTTAGACTTTGTTTTTTTCTTTAACTCCTTTAAACACGCTGGTGCCATCTTAAAGTTCCGCTAAACTCTTTTGATATGCCCCTATTTAATTCGATTGAATTCAAACCGGAAAGTTATTTGCCGTTGATATTAAATAATTAGAGTGGCGTAGAAAATTTGATATTTTCCGAAAAATGCAAATTACGCACAAATATGCCGATACCAAAGTACACGTGTCTAATCGTTCGGAAAGGCCCACTCGTGTAAAAGAACCGTGGGATTCGACAAAGAGTAGGCGGAAACCCTGCTGTTCGGACAAAATTTACCCGAGAGCTCACTGCATGACATGCCCGTTTTCACCAAACGTTAAATCTCATTTCAAAATTTAAAGGTATAACAATATACAGTTTAACTTAAAATCACACAACCTACCTGTTACATAAATCCTCCTTAGTTTTTCAAAACTGTTCCAGGTGACGTGATATGGGTCTTATATATAGTCCTCTTATTGTCACGTGATATATTTAAAACAAATGTCAGCTTTAAGACACACATTTTTATGCAATTAGACTGTTTATTTAGCTTTCACTTTCTTTCACTTTGATAGAAGATAAGTATTCCATGCTTAAAAATATAATTACACAAAAACCCAGAAATGTTCCCGATGTCATGTAAGCAACCAGTTTGTTCTTTTGGCTTACAATCAAAGCGTCAACTTTGAATAGGTTATATTCGGGTGCTCACAGAGGCTGATGTGACACTGGACAATCACCAATGTATACAGTAACGGAATAGCGTCAACAAGAACTCGAAGACAAAACCGACACTACACAAAATGCACAGTCCTTCCCATGGTATGCTAAAGTGAGAAATTAATAAAGGGAAGGAATGAAACGATGTTTTAATAATAAGGACTATATGCAGTGTAGACCAACGCCCCATAATCTTGGTGATCTGGTTGTGATTTGGGAAGCTGTTTAATGAGTACTGGCAATGAAGGCTTCCATATCGATAAATACATCCAGGCGTTCAACAGACAACGCATGAATTATAGTTTTGCGATTATTCTATACCTTAATCCAACAAAACATAATTCACAGCAGAAACCATAATCGACAAGGGTCTAATATCGACCCCTTTGGAAGCCCGCATTTGAGTTTATTGTAATATCTTTCCTGCCTTTATATTTAACTACATCGATTTTATTTTAATTTAAAGGGTATATTTTAGCACCGGAGATGTGTTCACACAACATTCGATTAGAATGCCATAATTATATAACATTTGATGTGCACAGTAATGACTTTACAAAGGACAGTGAGAGTAATTAATGAAACAAAGCCATGAGTGTGATAGCTGCACATAAAACCATGTTGACTGTGTTGTATAACATTACTTTGGTATTTGTCAACCAATCTAGGTGTTCCCAGACTAAATATAACTAAATCTGGTTAAAATTTACAGAGAAGTGACATGATATATCTTAATAGACATTTAAACAGGAAGATGGAGGAGGAAAAACACAATATTTATCACAGACAAGGGATCTCACCTTTTTAGCTCATGCGTAACAAGCAATTCACATGCAAACTTTGCACAGATTATTCTGTATTTATGAACTTTAACACACTTTGTTGTGTAAATTCAATTCTCTTGGTTTCAGGACAAGTACGGCACATCTGTTTACACAACAGCAGTGGCGAGTCTTGTGCGCAACACTAGATATGGCATCTTCTTTCTATCAATTGAATTTTGTCGTATGATGAACGTGCTCATGGTTTATTGCCGATGGAAATAACTTCAAAAAATTGGCGCCACCGTCCAGGTCCTTTTGAACCAGTCCAACTTAAACACTCTCTGAACCCGACCCGGTGGGTTTGGTGGCCGTATGGCTCACCACGTGCGCTTTAGTTATGTAGGTTTGTCATGTACACAAGTGTCCTGGGTTTCGCCGCCCGCCTGATAAAAAAAATGATTTGCTTTTATACGGGTTCCTCTAATACAGGGGTGGACAACAGTTTACATACCATACCGTGCGTCAATTTGTTCGCACATAAATTCAAATTCTTAATAAAACTCTTCTATCCCCGTCTGTTTCTAGTAGAAATATGTTTATAGACGGGAAGATTGCAGGATAAAGGTCTATCTTTCCTAGTTTCAGCATATTTTAAACTGAAAACAGATTAAAGATACATTATGGGAGATTTGTATAGAGAGTTGGCCATTCTTGCTATAACAGTTCAAAAGTAGATGATGCCAGTAGAATATATTGAAATATTCAGTCAAATTACTTTATTCTGAACATAGTTATCATCGTTGTAATATTTGCCTAGAAATGGTAGCGAATTGTGTCTTCACCGTCGCTGATCGTTTGATTGACAGGCGTTAACTCCACCTACATATCTCGATTATCAAGTAAAGTTTTCAATGGCATACGGAAACGCTTTACAGCGGCCTCGCTAAGTACACTCTATCATTTAGCCTCGATCTAACAGACGTATTTTCATCAGGTTACCCCTTATCTGAATTAATCAATTAGTGAAATCCTATTTAAATCCGAGCAGTAGCCGAGCCATCCGTGGGTCTAAAGAGTTGATTTTGGTCTTGTTGTTTAAATAAAGATCTAATTTATAATTTCTATAATATCTGAAGCCTAAATTAAGACTTGCAATAATCAGATTTAGCTCTTGCATAATGCATGTTTAAAGGAGGCAAGTCTTTAACTCAATATCATCCACAATCTTCGACATTGCAAACACGACTTATTGGTCAATTTAAATCAACATTGATGTTGTTATCTTACCTTGAAAAAGATGGGCTTCTGATATCCAATATTTAAGGCAAAATGAAACTTTTAAAATTGAAACACGAATCGTAATAAAGGGGCTAGATGAACGGGGCTAAACATTTGCGATCCATTTGTCTCCATTTATAGGTGCCAAAGAATAGAAATTTAGCGCCTTTAAAGTGAAATAAGAAAACATTCGCTAGGAAGGATGTGCACGAAATAATAAAATCGCTAAAAATAATCAGTAGACTTACTGCCTTACTTTACTTTTATCACAGGGATACAATGCACCTCTTCTAATCATGTTTAGTGCACGCGCACTAGGTTGGCCATCCCTGCTTTGACAGGTATAGGCCCTTGCGCACGGGACAATTATAAAGACATAGCGTGTGTTAATCGTGTATTGAATCTTGCATAATAACGAGACAACTATACAAACCAGGAACTAAGCATAACGTCAGCATTGCCATCTTAATACGGTTTGGGGTGGGGTGGGAGACACGTCCCCTGAATGAAAAGAAATGCAATGGAGTTTAACGTCCTACTGCTCTGCTCCGAACTGGGCTAATGAAGACGGGAATACGCCATACAGTGCGCTAGGAGGGAATTTTTACCCAGACATGAGCACTATACGGTCTACTCTTGTATCGAATTCCAACTGTCAAGGGATCTTTTACGTGCACGCCAATGTGTACACTGGACCTCGGTTTCAATTCCCATCCGAACGACTAGACAGCTGTCCTTGTCAGGCCCCCCGTCCTGCATCACTGACAAGGGGCAACCACGCCGGAAAATCTGGATGAACTTTCTCGGCCGGCAGGTCACGTGCGAGCCCCTCAAACATGCCTGCATGTAAATCAAGATACATGTAACACAATATTTTAAAGGAGCTAAAGCTCTAACTCAGTATTATCCATAATATTCGAAATTAAAAACACCAATTAAAATTCAATATTGGTCCATATCAGTCAATATTGGTGTTGTAAAAAAATGGAATCCTAATATCCAATATTTAAGACACGAGGTCCATTATTCTATGCTTTCCTGCAACATTGGTAATGAACATATATCACAAAACAATGCAGAAGTGCCTAATTCACAAACGACAAAATACTTTGGACTAATTGATTAGAAGTTAGAATAAATATTTAAAAATTGAATGTTAATCACATTATGTATTAATATGTGCTTTTTGTCTAATTTAAGGTTCCAAAAATCAGGGGTATACGGCCTTTAAATTAAAACACAAGAGAAAAATCGTTCACTATAAATATTTACGTACTTTGAAAAAAATATACGTAGTTGTGTAAAATGTTATTTATCTACACCTGTCTGTTTATATACATCTTCCTGGATAAACATGGCTATTGATTCAAACTCAGAGTGAAATCACTCGGCCCATCAAAACAGAATGTTCTCGGTGATCATCGGAGAGAGAGAGAGAAATGGGATTTAACGTCCACTCGACACAGACTAGGTCATTTCGGGACCAACACACTGTTCAATTTTATTTCAATAATTTGCTTTCGCGTAAGGGTCTTTAGGAGGACCCAGAGAAAACCCACGAGGTTGGACAGGCGAACCTACTCCTTGTCACGTACAATCGGGGAATCGAAACCACGCCAGGATATTGAATTGGTGTTGTCTACTTTCACACCCATTGGGGAGATCAGACTGGTTGGTGAGGTGATTTCAATGCGGAAATCTGGGATAGGATTATTTAACTCTTCTGGAAAGGAACAGTAGGGTGTGGGGGCAGCGTCTAGTCGTTCGGATGGGACAAAGAAAATGAGTTCTCGTGAAGACGTCGGTGAGCATGAAAAGGAAACTTGGTTGGTGGAATTCAAAATAAGAGTAAGCCGCAGTGTCGCTGTCCGGGCAAAATTTCCCCATAGCACACTGTATAGAGTAATAATTTAAAGACCATTTGATTTCATTTTTTATCAGTCGAGAATACCAAAGAGGTATCAGGTGTTTCATACGACTGGCAAAGCGTGCCGCGCGCGTGACACTCGTTAGTTACAAAATAAGATATACGTCTGTTCAATACAAGAGTTAGTTAAATAACTACGTCCTCGGCATGAGTATTCTGCTCTCCATTACTAAATCACTAAATCTTCTTGTTCGAATCGGGATCGCGTGGCTAAGTGGGTAAGACGCTGGCTCGATGGCCTGGAGGTCGGGTGTTCGATCCCTGTATTGGCCGAGAAAGTCCATCCAGATTTTCCGGCGTGGTTTCCGCTTGTCAGTGATGCAGGACGGAGGGCCTGACAAGGACAGCTGTCTAGTCGTTCGGATGGGACGAAAACCCGAGGTCCCGTGTATATATTGGCGTGCACGTAAAAGATCCCTTGGCAGTTGGAATTCGATATAAGAGTAGGCCGTAGCGCCGCTGCCCGGGCAAAATTTCCCTCATAGCACACTGTATGGCGTATGCCCGTCTTCATTAGCCCAGTTTAGGAGCAGAACAGTAGGACGTTAAACCTCATTTCATTTCATTTCTTGTTCGAATCGTGAGATGACCGACAAAATACATTTAAAATACAGTCGGCAAATCTTTTGGCGTTAGATTATTTACATAACATTGTTGACTTAAAACGAATTTCAAGGACAATGTTGGTGTCCACGAATGTTACATTTTACATGTTACACATTCCAGATATGATTTCAACACAGAGATCTAAAGTTGCTACTGTTGATCCTTAATAAAGATTGAAGGAATCGGTGCCAAACAAGGAAAGCAGAGAGCCG